GCAATCTTTAAACAGAAGGCGAGGAAGAAGACAAAGATACCGACCATGGCCACCACCTCCTGAGCTCTCTAGACTTTCCCAGGGTCCTCTTCCTGAAAACGGCCTTTGCTGCTAAGGGTCTTTCAGAACTAATGTCCTTCTGTCTTGACTTTTTAAACTTTAACCATGTCTAAGTACAGACATTGCCCAGCCCCCACTTGCACTCTGCTTTTCCGAAGGCTACTCCTCACCATTTGAAGTGCATATACCTGTGGACTTCCCTCTTTGTCCACCCCGTCTTCTCTTGTGTGGAAACTCCACAAAGACAACGGTTCTCTTCTGTTTGATTTGTTGATGTGCCTACAACATTGCTGGCACAGAGTAAACGACAAAAATAAAAAAAAGTGTTGAAGAAGCACATAAGCCTATTCTCCGTCTCCAGCACTGGGAATGCTTGTAGGAATAAAATATAAAATATCAAAAGCATGGGAAATAAGCCAGGTCAGGAAACAAAAAACAAAAATATATGTCAGTTCTGAACCTAAAGAGTATCGGACCCGAGGGATAGCCTCTCATGTTTGGTTGGATAACTGTGGGTGTTAGTAGAGAGGGTTCAAAATGCTCCCAATTGCCTCACGTGGTGACACATGCCTTTAATCCCAGCACTGGGGAGTAGAGGCAGGTGAGGCCAGCCTGGCCTACATAGCAAATTCCAGGAGAGCCAGGGCTACCTAGAGAGGCTGGCGCTCTCTCTCTCTCTCTCTCTCTCTCTCTCTCTCTCTCTCTCTCACACACACACACACACACACACACACACACACACACACACACACACACAACCAACCAAGCAAACAAAAATAAGCACTCTCAACACAAAGAAATGATAATGTCTATGATAATGGAGATGTCAATCACCATGAGATGATTACCCCACATCCTGTCATGCTTGAGAGTGTCACACGGCCCCTCATAAATGTGCATAATTAGTGTGTCAATTCAAATCCTTACAAAACATTTTTAAAGAGTGGTCTTTGGAAGTGAGGATTTGTTGTGGAATATTATTCTAACTAGGAATATTATTTTATATTATATTATATATTAACTAGTTACATTGTTTTTGCTGTGGAGCATTAATTTAACTGTGTAAAGGTGTGTTCCTTTTGTTTATGTTGTATTTGTTTATCAATGTAAGGATGTGTGTTTAGTTATGTAAAGATATGTTGCATCTGTTTCACCTTGCCCACCTAAGGCACCTGACTGATCTAATAAAGAGCTGAACAGCCACTAGCTAGGCAGAAAAAGGATATGTGGGGTTAGCAGGCAGAGAGAATAAATAGGAGGAGAAATGTAGGCTCAAAAAGAAAGAAGAAGGAGAGAATGAGGGAGACGCCCAGGGCCAGAAGCCAGCCAGATATAGAGACAACAAGAAAGTAAGAAAAGGTAAAAAGCCCTGAGGCAAAAGGTAGATAAAGAGAAACAGGTTAATTTAAGTTAAAAGAGCTAGCCAGAAACATGCCTAAGCTAGACCGAGCATTGAAAACTAGTAGTAAGTCTCTGTGTCGTGATTTGGGAGCTGGTTGGTGGACCAAAAGAAGTAGCGTGGTACAAGGATTTAAAAAAAAAAAAGAAGGCTTTTAGCATGGTAGACATGGTGACCCCACTGAGCATCAGGAGCAGACAGGCTTCTGGTAGTAAATTTGAAAGGAAGGGTCCTATACTTGGGCTAGAACTCTATTAGCAGCTGACATGTGGTAAGAAAGATGAAAGTTAAGTTGAGCAGGGGGTGTGGTTCAGTCAGGAGGGCACCTGCCTAGCATACACAGAGTCCTGGGCTCCATCCCAAGGTCAGCATAAAGCTGGGTATAGTGGCATGCTCCTGAAACACCAGCCAGCACTTGGAAGTAAGGAGAATCAGAAGTCCACAGTCATCTTTAGCTACAGAGAGTTCAAGGCCAACCTGGGTAATATGAGGCCCTGTCTCTAAGTCACAAGAAAAGAAAAAATACATGATATAAACTCAGTGTATAAGTTTGTAAAAAAAAAAAAATACAATGTTACAGTAGAACTTGGATTTTCAGGTTTGCTAACTTTAGTTTGAGTATGATCATATTGACTATGGCCAGAAGTCTGTCGGTGGTTGTGATTGGCCTGGAGCTGCCTAGAGGCTGTGTGAGCATGGCATCTCCAGCATTCATGGCTGAGTAAAGCAGCATGTTGGTGGGAGGGTAACTGAGGACCACTGCAATGGTTAATTTTGATTGACAGCTTGCTTGAATTACTAAACACCCGTGAGATTAGCAAAGCCTGGCTCTGCGTAAGTCTATGAGGATGTTTCCAGTTACAGTTGCATCCTGGGAGCTCTTCTCTCATCAGCGGAGTGGTGCCGTGATGGATCCATGATAAGATAGCACTAGGGGAGGTAGCAAAAGCTAGGAGGCGGAGCCTAAGCGAGGAAGTAGGTCCCTGGGACCGTGTCTGGGAGCCTCTGTCTTGCTGTGGCCACTTCCGGTTGATTTCCCCCTCCATCTTCTGCCTGTCCACCATGAAGTGAAAAACCTGCTTTGCTTCACTCCCACCACCATGATGTTCTGATCACGAACATGGGGCCAGGCAGCGGAGGACTGGGCTCTCTGAAACCTTGAGCCAAAAGACTTCCTCCCTCCTGTAGGTTGTTCATTCTCTCGGGTAGTTTGGTCACAGCTACACAAACTAACCCAGACACTTTAAGAAATGCTGAAGAAGGTGGATGGGGGTAAAGGGAAAAAAACATAAAACAAAGGAAAGATAAAGTTGGGGGATTAATGACCAGAAAAAATTTAGAGACACTAAGAGCCACTGTGCTGGCTAGTCTTATGTCAACTTGATACACAAACTGGAGTTATCTACACAGAAAGACTCTCAGGCCTCCATAAGATCCATTTTTTTTTTCAATTAATGGTTGACAGGGAGGGCCCAGCCCATGGTGGGTGGTTCTATCCTTGGGCCAGTGGTCCTGGGTTCTATAAGAAAGCAGGCTGAGCAGACTATGGGAGGCGGGGCAAGCCAGTAAGCAGCTCCCCTCCATGGCTTCTGCATCAGCTCCTGCCTCCAGGATCCTGCCCTGTTTGAGTCCATGTCCTGACTTCCTTTGATGATGAACAGTGATGTGGAAATATAAAGCCCCCCCCCAAAAAAAAACCAAAAACAAACAAGCAAACAAACAAAAACCCCAAAAACAAAACAAAACAACAACAATAAAAAACTTTCCTCCCCAACTTGCTTTTTGGTCATGGTGTTTCCTCACAGCAGTAGAAACCCTGACTGAAACAGCCATCATTATCCTGTCCAGGGGCCTCATTCTGTACATGAGGAAATCAAGGTGAGAAATCAGGTCAAGAATCTGGTTAATAGCAGAGTTGGTGCTTGGTAGAAATCATGTCAACTGTGGGCAAATCAGAAACCGGAGGAAAAACAGGGGTTGCTATGTAACCCAGGCTGGCCCCAAATTCACCGCATAGCTCAGGCTGGCCTGAAACTGATGATCCTCCTGCTTCAGTTTATGGGATGCTGGGATTACCAGAATCCTTGGCTACCAACATGTATTAAGGAATGAAGTCTAGAGCTGGAGAGATGGCCCAGTAGCTGATCGAACTTGTTGCTGGATTTAATTCTCAGTGTCCATATGGTGGTTCACAACTATCTGTAACTCCATTTCCATGGGATCCAAAAATAGAGGAAGGAAAGAGGAAGGAAAAGCCACAAGGAACAACTCAAACAGAAGAGCAAGCTCAGCCCCATCTGAGAGGGGAAGTGAAGACCAGCCTGGAGAAGATGGCAGACAGGAACCGGAAATCCCAGGAAAACCTGTTAGCTCCACCGTGTGTGTAACATGATCAGATACGCAACTGCGGCATATAATTGGGTTGTAGAGTGACTTCAGGGGTTCACCAGCAAGGACAGCAAGAGGGCAGACTGGCATAGCCAGCAGTCTTTAGAGGAAGGGGCAAGAATCAAAGCCCGAGTGTAGGTGGATTGAACTCAGCTCCATCAACCAACCACTAACTACAGAAACTAAAAGGATTTAACCCAGTCTCTCTGAGCCTCATCTTTACAACCGAAGTGGTCACACAGATCTAACTGGGATGCTGTAACACTCAGTGAGCAAACGTGAAAAGTGTCTGGTGTGTAGGGGTCATGCGGCCACATCAGTTCTGTCAAAAGGCTTGTGTGTCAAAAGGCCTTAGTGTGTGTGTGTTTGTCAGTGAGGTTCCCCGACTCCAGCCATCTACCACTGAAGGGTGGAGAAAATGAAATAAAAAGTCAGAGATGCTGCAGTAGATGAGAAAATCCACAAGTCCAGGGTCTCTGAGCTTTGAGCATTAACAAAGCTGACCCTGCTCCACATAGAACAAATAGCTCTTAGAAGAGCTTGGAAGGGCCGTGCTCTCTCTCCCCGTCATCTCGCTGAGCATCCCACACCAGTCAAAGCACATCCTAATGCTGAGCCACACTGGACTTTACAAACAGAGAACGTGAAGGGAATGGGGTCCTGCTGATGGGCTAGCCCACTAACCCTGGTTATACTGAACTTCAAGAAGGACATGAACAATGCAAAGTTGGAAGACGGCAATCGATTCTTCCTGAAGAACGGAGTGGTGTGGCTGCTTTCCAAGTCACCTCCAACCCTCATTGTCCTGATGGGTCCATTTGGATTTGTGCTTGTTATGCTAATTGTATCTTTTAAAGAGATGCTGGAGAAATTAAATCAGAATACCAAATTCTTACAAAATCCATCTTTTGCATTCATAGATATAAATATGCTGTTACCCAATATTTTTAAACACACATAGATTCTTCCGTTTGCAAAAAAAATGAGCAGCATGTCAGTTTCTTGTCAGTGAATTGCTTTCTGTATCTCTAAAGTCAGCTCAGAAATTAAAAGTGCGCCATCCTTTCAATAAGTGAATAAATGAGGGGAAAAGACACCCTAGTAGTGCACAGAGACGTTCGGTCGTGGGTGATGTGGTGGCCCTGGCACCCACCTTGCCCTTGTACCAAATGCTTTCATTTCCCTCCGGATCCACATCCTCCGTTGCCAAGGTGAGGCAGACGAGTCTCCGTTTCAGCCCCTCGGCTTTGATCCGCCTCAGCGCTTGCTTTCCGACGAAGTTGGCCGGCTGCAGGAACCCAAGATAATGATGATGAATGAGGGCTCCGACACCGTGACAAGGTTAGCGATGCAAGCATTTAAATTTGTCTTTGCTGTTTTCTCACCAATTACACACCAAATAAAAGTACAGATTGGATCAAACGTCTAGACAAATATGTCTTAGTGCCCAAATGACAGTACCAGCCACCCATTCCTGTGGAATGAGTTAGACTTAATGTAATAACTTGGGCAGATAATTTTACCAGAGCCACCTCAGCAGAAAAGCGTAAGGCGCTGCGCTGTGCTGGCGGGTTACAAAAATGACCCCGTATCTAATGGGTCTGGACAGTGGCATCAGCTGTCTGAACAAAGTATGTCTCAATCTCTACCCATTGGAAGCTTTTTTATAAGAAACAAACATTCTTTGGTATGTGATGCCAGAAAACCCCCAAAATGCTACGCTTCCCTCTCCTTCAGAGTAACACTCCTTGGGATGTATTAACTACCAGGCTATCCTCATTAGTTCATTCAGGAGATATTTGTTTTGCCGGACTCCAAGTGAGGCCTCGTGTAGGCTGTGGGGTTACAAAATGAGTCAGATGTGGGCGTCTGGAACAAAGACCTTATTCTTGAACCCACCCTTTAGCCCTTCTTCCTCCTTCCAAGTAACACGTGACAGATGACACTCATGCTCCAGCTTGAAGACTTTCCCATTATTAGTCACCCCACAACTGAGCTGGACACACAGGTGAGCAGTCACTGATCAGTGGGGACCCTGGGTAACAGAGAAAGGAAGATGCAATTCTACCCAGCCAGAATGCCGGGGGACCTTGGATAAAGTAAGACAAATTCACCAGAGGCTAAGAGCGAGGACAGGGCCCAGGAGAGAGGCGTGCCCTTCAGGTGAGATGATAATAAGCCTACAGAAGCATGTCTTTAGGGGCGGAGAGGGAATTCAACACACAAAGCTCACCTTGCTAAAAAGACATTAGAGATGCAATAAAATTTCTCAAAATCAACTGTCACGTACACTCAAAAGTAAACTAAGAACTCCATAATCCAAAGAAGCCACCTCAAACTTCTATTTCTCTCCTGGCCCAGAAGGCAACAATAGTTTGTGCCAAAGATGTCCTCTGTGGCCAGCATTAAGATGGAAACATTTAGGACTGTGTGCAGTCAACCCCATGACCTCTGAGAATCAGCAGGAGGTCCTCACACCCCTTCCACCCGATGCCCCTCACCATGCCTTCCCTGATGCTAGACTCCCAGGGTGCAGCCACAGCACTGTATTGGTCCTGCAGGGATTGCAACTCTAAGTTGCTGACCTGCACAGGATGCTGAAGAAGGCTTCCATTACCCACGGTTTAAATACTATACAAACCCAAAGTCTAATTCTCTCTCCTTTCTTTCCCAGTGTGACCCAGATGGCGAAACCACCTCTATTACAACCCAGAGCATGAAAACATACAGATCAGCACATGAGCTAGTTACTACGTGAAGAGTTGAAAAGGGAAATCACAGGAAGAATTTGACTTATTTGGATCCATAGATAAATTTTAAAAAATTAAAAATTAAAAAACAAGTTTTATAAGCAAATTAAGTATACAGTGTGGGCTGGTAGAAAGACTCATGGGCATGTGCCACCAATCCTGGTGACCTGTGTTGGATTCCCCAGAACCCATAAACATAGCAAAGCCTCTGTGTGTGAGCCCACACACAATCAAAGAATAAATGTAAAAAAAAATGCATACTATACGGTCAACACTTACTGTAGAACCTGGAAAATACAGATGACGCAAAGCAACTGCGGTGTCCCCGGGGATCACCCCTACACACCACCCATTGTGATGAGCATTTTGTTACATTTATTTAATATCCTCTGTGCAATGGTTAGTCTTGTCAACTTGACAGGGCTTAGAATCCTCTAGACAAGTCCCAGAACATACCTGTGCAGAATTAGGTTCCCTGAGGTGGGAGGACCCACTTCAACTGTGGGCAACACCATTCCATAGGCTCTGGACCCTCAGTCTGTGACCCTAAATACACCCTTCCTTCTTTAAGACACTTTTGCCAGGAGACTTTATTATAGCAAAAGGAAAAGTAACTAATACACTCTATATATTTATAGTCTGTACTTTTCAGATAAGAGTACTGTAAACATTTTTATATATTTGCCTCTAACAAGAACAGTGGTTATATAAACGATACAAAAAAAACATTTATTTCAAACTTTTTCAAATGTTCATTCTCTTTTGTTACTTTACAGCCCATCTGCTTAGGTTATGAAATTGAAATCGTAGGAAACTAATGTTACTACAGCTAAACTCTGTATCTCCAGATACAGAAGAGAGACTGTATAATGGCAAAGACTTCTGCTCTGTTTTTGAAGAACATTTGCTACAACTGATGATGGCAGGGGCTGGTTATAACCTCTGTCTTCCTAGGAGACAACATCTGTGGAAATAAAACAAAAAGGCCTATGACTGGGTAGAAAACACTCACACAGGAGTGGCTAGTGCCTTACATGGTGTGATTTGCAGAATGCCAATGGCTCTTAAATTGTTTGGTGTAGTAATCCTCACAGTGACTCTGCGGTAGTATTGGGCAGGTACACCAGGTCACAGAACAATGACTTGAGGCTCAATCACGTGGCAACAGAAACCAGCATCTGTAGGTTTTGTCCATATTTTTAAAAAAATCTGTATCAGAATGCATGGCTGATAGAAATACTCAAAGTGCTGAGTTATAGATGGTGGTTCATGTCTGTCGTCCTAGCACTTGGGATGTAAAGGCAAGAGGATTTTGAGTTCAAGGCCAACCTAAGCTACATAGTGAGACCCTATCTCAAAATAAAATCAATAAATTGTAAGAGCCAAAATTAACCTGTAAGCCCAAGGACAAGGTGACTTCCTGGAGTACTGGGAGCTGCCGTTCTTGAGAAATAACAAGCCATATGTTTTTACTTCCCTAAACAGGTTTGTTTGAAAACAATGCCCTGACAACCAAATCCTCACTGCTCACACATCCTGTGATGGTTCAACGTGATCGAACTGAGAGATGCTGAGGATGTTTGTAAAGCACACCTTGGTGAGTCTGCCGGGGCACTCTCAGAGATTAGACCATGAGAGCTCTGACATAATGGTTTAATCGAGGGTGAATTCAGAATTCGCTTAGACCTATGGGAGTTGGTGGGCCTGGCTGTAGGCGATTGGTTCCCTTGGTTCCCTTCTGTAACTCCAGTTCTGCTCTGCTCCCTGGTGGCCATGAGGTGGAGAAGTCCCTTCGCATAGGCTCTCACTAGCATGATCTTATACTCCAATATATGAACGGAGCCCTCTGAAACCGTGAGCTGAATGAATTCTTCCTCTTTTGGGTGGTTTCTGCCGGGCATTTTGTCACAGCAATGAGGACAGTCACAGAGCGAAGTCAGTCCTGCCCCTCCCCAATCTTAAAGTGCAGGCATGACGTTTCATCCCTGCTGTATTTGGTTTACCTCTCAAGACTGTAGGCTTGACTCTACTACCTACTAATTAATTATAAGTGAGAAGAAACGAGTCTGAAGTCAGTGCTGTAGTTAGAAGTGGTGCTTTTGGAATGACCCAAGAACAGAAATACATCTGTTTAATGAGTCATTGATGAATTACCTATATAAATAGCAGTTAATGTCTTTGAGAAATGTCCAGATTTCTGAGGCACTAAGGCTTCAGCTTACAAATAGTCTAGACTATTTTTTTTAGTGTACTACTTTTAAATACCAATAAAAGTCATTAAGGCAGCCACCTGTAATACACACTAATTTAACATCCATATACATACACACACACACACACACACACACACACACACACACACACACACACACACACACAAAGTAGGCTTTAAGTGAAAGGTAATTACTCATCTTCTATTAGCCCTGCTAATGGCATGCATATTACCCGAATGCTGATGTAAATTAAATAAATTAAACCAGTGTATTTTGGGGAGTGATTCTTAGGGAAATGAAGTGTTTGAAGACACAGTCAAATCTGACCGCTGCACTGGGGCAAGATCTGGATGCAGAATTGGGAGAGGGGCCTGCCATAGACCAGAAGAGAGAATAAGGTTGAAGTCTTGGGCCTTTCTTTCCCATTTATATGGGGTAAAACCGCCATCAAAAAATTCAAGAATGTCATCAGTTTGACTTAACTTTTTGGCTCATATCCTTTAAACTCAAATATTAAAAGTTCCAAAGACAGAAATGACTAAGTTTCACATCTTGCATCACCGAATCCCCAGGAACCAGGCGTGGGCACCCAATCCTGTTCTGTGTTTTTCAGCCCCTGGTTACCAGCTCCTCCAAAGGGCGGAATGAAGATGAGAATCCAGGTGACAGCTCCTGTCACTGTCCCTCATGCACACTGGAAAGCTTCTTGTTTAAAATGGGCTCAGAGAAATCACTGAAGGCAGCCCGGAGGAGGCCTCCTTGTAAAGTTTGTGGCCATCGCCAGCCTGAGACTGCGTTAACTGTCGCATCCTTTGGTCAGCTTTTCGGCGCTCTGTGCATCTGGGTGTGACTCAGAGATGCTGAGAAAGCTGCATCCTGGGCTCACTCATTTGGGGAAAGGATTGACTTGGTCTGCATCCCATCAAGACAAACCACAGCCTCATTCGTTTCCTATTCCGAGTTAGACCACAGAAGCCTTTGAGCAGCTTGTGACTTGGGCCAGTCTACAAGAACTGCAAGGCCAGTGAAGGCTGGAGGGAGATTGAGCAAAAAAGCTCAAGCCCGGGCAGCCCTGGTGTGCTTTTACTGCCACACAGCCAAACATGTCGTCAATAGATCCTTTGTAGCGAAGTGTTAAATCACGAGTTTAGCCGCTGTTGTTGGCTGGGAAATGAAATCTCCCACATACATCAAGTTTTCACTCTCAGGCACAGGTGGCCGAGGCACATCTCAACTAGCATTTTCCTAGCCGAAGTACTAGCCAGAAGAGAATTCCTTCTCAAAAAAAAAAAAAAGGCTTTAAGGGAGCAGGAAAAGGGACTCTGGCAGGTATAGGGAAGGAGAGGATAGAAGAGAAACCCAAGGAACAAGTACAGTGTCACACACCTGGAATCCCAGCCCTTGAGAGGTTGAAGCAGGAGGATGACGGGTGTAGAGCCATTTTGGACTAAGTGGCGAAACCCTGTCTCAAATCCCAACAAGACAATCTGTAAACTGAGGAAAACATTAAAAACATGCCTAAGGCAGACCAATAACAAGGGTAATTACCATTTAAACCAAATTCAAATTTTTTGAAAACTAAAATAGTCCCTATTACACATGTTCTGTGACTTTCATTCCATTCAATTTTAAGGAAAATATTAGGCTTTGAAGCTTATGACTCAAAAGAAAGCTGTGGGATGGATGAGTGACCTTACCAGGTACACTTTTACATTTAACTTCAGCAGCAGCTAAAGTTTTAATATTCTCACAGTACAATTGATCATTTGCAAATTCTGCAAGTTCAATCAACTACACACCAAAAAAAATGGTCAGGGGAGAAAAAACACGCTTGTGTTGAACTTCTGTGAGCATTTTTCTTATCATTTCCTAAACATTACACGATGGCCCCATTTGCATAGTATTTGGGTTGTATTATGTGTTGTGTGATTTGAAGCATATAAGAGGATGCGGAGGGCTCAGAACTGGGTTCCTACACTGTTTTCTAGATGTGTTTGAGCCCATGGAGATTTCTGTACGTTGAAGTGGCCAGGTCTTCACTACCCACCCATCACAGGGACAGCTGGAGTTTTCATCTCTCTCTAGGGCAGAGAGATAAATGAGTATCCGTTTGGTGTTTTGAGTATATGCAAAGCAAACAGCTCTTAAGGAAATAAGCATGAAGAACAGAGCAAAGCTTTGCTACCTACATCTCCTCCCAGGCTCATAGCCTGCTTGGGAGGTTTATGTTTTCATCATTATCTAAGTAAGAGTGCTTGTAGATGAAATAATTTGTCTTAGACCGGCAAGTGGAACAGAAACCACTGAAGTCTGTCGACAGCCCAGACTTAGTTGCCACTTAGAGTGCCGGGTTGAGCTGAAGAGGCAGCCAGTGCTCTGAGCATGATGAACACTACCCAGGGCAGGCCCACAGGAGTTCCCAACACCCCTTGCCTTTAATTTCCACGCACATCTGAAGAGCCCAAATCCATGCTTCCCGAACAAAGCTCCAAACCCACAGGCACAGCTGCGTTCCAGACCTTCCCACTCAGTTATTCCACACCCACAAACCCTCCAGTTTGCCAGCCACATCTGTCCTTTTTCCAATGCTGACAATGTCCCCTGTCTTTCTCTCCACCCCACGGCGCCTCGGGTGAGTGCCATGCTACCTCCTAATAGTGCTCACATTATTTCCTTCTCCACCCCACAGCCTCTGCTTAACTGAAGCCTTTGCCCTTTCTCCACTGGCCTCCTTCAGTAATTGGGGAAAAGATCTTCCTGTCACACCAACAACTTTCTTTTAATCAGTTTTCCATCACCAGAATGTCACTTCTTGCTCAAAAGCCTTAAATCACTCCTTAGCTCCCCTTTCTGATGGGTACCGCTGCATTCCTGACAGCATTTCTGGACACTGCTTTCAACAGAATACACGTACTGAAAATTCTTCATGTGCCAGTCCCGAGTTAGGTGTAGAAGATAAAATAGCAAACCATATTTTGTATTGCTAGCACCTGAATTGAACTGTATCATTCTATTCAAATTAAATAAATAGAATAAGTTTACTTTTTGAACAAGTAAAATAATTTCAAATGCTCAAGACCTACAAGGAGATAATATCTGTGAAATTTATGTTGGATTCCATACTTTAGAAATGATCTAATAAAACCTGAAAATATCTTAAAAAGATCAATTGTAAACACCAAGTTAATTTTACGCCCAAAGCAAAAGACTTAACATTAGGAAATAAATATAGTTCAACAGATAACAAGTAAAAAAGAAAAATTAGCTGATTAGATGTAGAAAAACCCTTTAATAAAACTAATATTTACTCCCAACTAAAAGAAAACATTTAGCACTAGGAACAGAAGGAATCGCCCCAACCTGATACAAAGTGGCTGTGAAAACCTATTGAACACTGTCCCTGGTGTCCACAGTGAACACTGTCCCTGGTGATGGGGGCAGACACTTTCCACACGAGGTAGGATCAAGGCAAAGGTATTTGTAGTCACCACTTTTGTGTGGCTTTGGTGAAGGTTAAGCCAGTGGAGTTTCTAAGCAGTGCAGTAAGGCAGGAAAAAGAAATAGAAGACTTTAAAAGAAAAATGAAAAGCTGTATTTTTAAACGACATGGTTGTCTGTGTAGTAGATCTAACAGAACCTGCAAAAAAGATCTACCAGAACTACTGAGTAAGACTGAAAAGTACAGAAGCCAATTGTATTTGTGTGCATCTGTACATGTGTATGTAGGTGTAGAGGTGTGTATGTGTGTGTATTCTTGTAGGGGGTGCATATGTATGTGTTGAGTGCGGGTATATGTGTGTGTGCAGGTCTGCGGGTATGTGCGTTCTTGTAGAGGGTGTGCAGGTGTGTGCATGTGGAGTGTGTGCATGTGTGGGTGTGCAGGTGTGTGCACTCCTGTAGAGGGCACGTGTTTGTGTGTGTGGAGTGTGTGCATGTGTGGGTGTGTGGGTGTGTGCACTCCTGTAGAGGGCACGTGTTTGTGTGTGTGGAGTGTGTGCATGTGTGGGTGTGCAGGTGTGTGCACTCCTGTAGAGGGCACATGTGTGTGTGGAGTGTGTGCATGTGTGGGTGTGTGGGTGTGTGCACTCCTGTAGAGGGCACATGTGTGTGTGTGTGGAGTGTGTGCATGTGTGGGTGTGGGGGTGTGTGCACTCCTGTAGAGGGCACGTGTTTGTGTGTGTGGAGTGTGTGCATGTGTGGGTGTGCGGGTGTGTGCACTCCTGTAGAGGGCACATGTGTGTGTGTGCACCCATGGAAACTAGAGATTGATGGTGGGTGTCTTCCTCTATTTCCCTCCGACTTGTTTTCTGAGACAAGGTTTTGCACAGAACCTGGAGCCCACTGACTGGACTAGAACTTTGGCCAGCAAGCCCCCAAGACGATCTTGTTTCTGCCTACCCAGTACTGCGATTACATGTGTACACAGCCATGCCGGGCTTTTCAGGAGCTGAGAACTGAAACTCAGGTCCTCATAACACGGACGGCAGCACTTTTCTGACTGAGCTGTCTCCCAAGCTCCCAGTTGCATTTCTGTAGATTAACAATAAGCAATTGAAAATTGAATTTAAAACACCATTTATGATGGTATTACATTGTGAAATACTTAGGTAGGAAAATGTACAAAGATGCACAGACATGTACTAGAATCTACAAAATATTTTCGAGAAAAATGAATGATGCTCCAAATGGGCACAGAAATACACATTGTTCAAGTGTTGAAGACTTGAATTAACCTATAGATACAGTGTATTTCCAATCAAAATTCCAAGGGCTTTTAAAAATCAATTGACACACTGATTCTACAATTTATGGAAAACCGAAAGGACCTAGACTAGCCAAAATTAATCTCACACAACCTATAGTAATTGAGGCAGTGTGATATTAGTATCAGGAAACACTCGTAGTTCAATGGCACATGGCAGAGCCCAGAAATAGGACCTACGAATATACATGAGCTGAGTCCTCCAGATCTGTGCAGTCGGTGAGTGCAGACAAGGCAACCTTTTCAACAAATGGTGCTGGAGACTGAAGAACCACGTGCAAATGAACTTAATCCACACCTCAAAGCTGATAGAAAAATCAACTAAAAGTGGATCATAAATCTAAAAACGAGAAGGTGGTTTCAAACTTTGTTTCAAAATAAACCATTTTTTAAGTGTTTACAATTTCTAGAAGAAAACACAGATAGATGGCTATCGCCAAAAACTTTGGGTTAAGCAACAGTTTCTTAGACATGAGTTAAAAACATCATCCATAAATGATCAATTGAGGGCCAGTGAGATGGCCCAGTGTGTAAAGGTACTTGATGCCAAGCCTGAGGACCTGAAATTAATCTGCAGGACCCACATAGTGGAAGAAGAAAATCATTAAGTTGTCTTCTGGCCTCTAAGTCACATGTATGCCCTCCCCCACAATCATCAATCAATTAAGGTGAACCGTATTAAAGATCAATTGATAAAGGCTTTAAATTTTATAAACTAAAAACTCTGAAAGACACAGTTCAACAAACAAAATAATAAGATGCAAATTGCAAAAAATATTTACAAAGCCTGTACCTGATAAAAATTTACATGTAAAATATAAGGACCTTGAACAACTCGGCAATAAGAAAGTAAACTCCACTGAAAATGAGTAAGAGATCTCACCAGACGCTTGCCGAAGAAGAGACAGAAGTAGTAGACAGAGAAATAAAAAGATGCTCAACATCATTAGCCATGAAGAAAACAAATTACAGCCACTCCACACTTCACAGAATAACTCCAGTTAAAGAGACTGACCAAAGCCCAGAGGCGGTGGTATATGCCTTTAATCCCAGCACTCAGGAGGCAGAAACAAGCAATCTCTATGAGTTTGAGGCCAGCCTGGTCTACAGAGCAAGTTCCAGGACAGTCAAGGCTATAGAGAATCCCTGTCTCAAAAACAAAAAAAAAAAAAAAAAAAAAAAAAAAAGAAAGAAAGAAAAGAAAAAAGAAGAGAAAAAGAGAGACCGACCAGGATAACATCTGACAAGGCTGTAGAGAGAGTGAAATTCCTATATGCAGTTTGTAGAAATCTAAAACAAAAATGATGCACTTTGTAAAAATCAGCATCTTAAAACCTTAGCATAGGGGTTGGTGAGATGGCTCAGTGGTTAAGAGTATTTGCTGCTCTTCCAGAGGACATGGGTTCAATTCCCAGCACCCACATGGCAACTAACAAACCAGTTACAGGGGATCTGACACCCTCTTCTGGCCTCCATGGGTACCGCATGCACATGGTGCATATACATAAGTACAAACACACACACACACACACACACACACACACACACACACACACACACACAAACACACAGAGGCAAACATACATATAAAAATAAATCTTTAAAAAAAATAAAATAAATACAATATATCCTTGCCATTTGACTCAATAGTTATCCTCCCAGGTATTTATCCGAGTGAAAAGAAAGCATATGTTCATAGAATCAGTTGTACAGAAATGCTGCTAGGCACGGTGACACACGCCTGTAATCCTAGCACTTGGAAAGTAGAAGCAGAACGGGAGAATGGTCAAAGTCATCCCCAGCGAGTGGGTGAAGAACCACCCTGGGCAACATGAAACACCATTTCAAAATAAATATATTAAAAAATGTTTATAACAGCTGTGTTTGTAATAGTCCTAAACTGAAGCAACACAAATGTTCAGCAACATGTCTGTGTTTCAGCAAACGGCAGTCCAGAAGATGGACTACGGTGCACCATCAAAAGCAGTGAGCTGTTGCCGTGTCAGCAAATGCAATGGGTTTGCACCCTGATGCATGCAAAGCCAAAGCATGAAGAAGCAGAGAGAGTTTTGCTACCTACAGTAGACAAGAACAGCACTGAGTTATTTCCAAAACAACACCCTTCTCAAACAAAGGAAGCCCATGCATACTTATGTAATGGTTGGCCCATGGCTGAGCATGCTTGGTTGAAAGTCTTAATTTAAGAAAGACAGTAGACACATTTTTTGATTTCTTAGCTCAAGGATATGGATCATATATTTAAACGTTAAAATGGTGGACAAAAGGGGCCTCTGAGCATGCTCAGTTTTCAAGTTCTGGCTGGAAATAAAGGAAAGGACATTTTGAAGTTACAGTAACATAGGAGTTTGCCACCAAAGACTCCTGCTGCATCTTGCAACTAACATGTAACAACATGAATGACTCTTGACTTATGCTGACCCATATCCAAAAGTGTATATGGCATATATAATAGTTATCTTTGTCAACTTGACATAGCCTAGAGTCACCGGGAGAGAGTCTTGATGGGGGATTGTCTGCAATGAGTTGGTCTGTGGGCATTTCTAGGGGCGGGACTTGTCATAATTGATGTGGGAAGACCCAGCCCACTCTGGGTGGCACCATTCCCTTGGCAGGGCTTTCTGAACTATGTGGAGAAATCAAACTGAACACATCTAGTCTCTCTCTGCTGCGCACGTGACCGGCTCACTCCAGTTCCTGCTGCCGTGACTACCCCACATGATGGACTGTAACCTGGAATTGGGGGCTAAAATAATCTCTTTCTTCCCTAAATCGCTTCTCGTGGGGTATTTTATCACAGCAACATAAATGAAACTAGAGCCCTGTTTAATTTCATTTATATAGATGTTCCGTTTATTCCAAAAGATGCCAAAATAAATTATAGTGACAGAAAACAGGTAAATGGGTGCCTGGGATAGGGTGGAGCTGTGAGGAGGGTTGGGAGGTAGGGATCACCAAGGGTTGTGATTATTCCTTTTGCCTCTGGGGTAAGGTATATGCTAGCTTTATTGCAGCTATAATTTCATTTGGGTATGCATATCAAACCTTTCAAACTGTTTACTTCAAATGCCAATGATTTTGTGTTCAATATGCTGTTCAAATAAAAATAATATACATAAAAGAAAAATAGTCTAAAATTACTTAAAATTTATTCAGAGACCAGAGTTTCCAGATTTAAAAGCTTTAAAGCAGTTAGTAAAGAGCACACTTGAGCTTTTAGGGTAGAAATATTGTTTCATAACTGAAATTGGATATATATGAGGATGATAATTCAATAGCCGTTAGTCTAATATACCCTGACAGGTGTTCTGAGGATGGTAAAATATACTTCAGCCCGGGCTTAACTCCCCTTCTTCCCTTTTTCCCCTCATCACTTAGCAGTGAAGGTGGGTAGGAGGGTAAGGATGGCATAATTAAAATGGCACAATTATACAGCTCATAAAGAAACAGAATGGCTCCATCCTCCATGTAAAGTGGCATTTTGTAGACTTTGAGACTTGCAGAAGGAGGCTTCGTTTTACAGATTAGGAATCTCAGGTACAAAATGAAATTGAATTGTTCTCTCGGGCTTCATCGATCGGGTAGAAGGACTTTGCAAAACATCCAGGGGCCCGGCAGTTAGAAGCACTTGCTGCTCTCACAGAGAACCCCTGGTTCTGTTTCCAGCACCCACGCTGGACAGCCCAGCTGTCTGTAACTCAGTTCAAGGGGATCTGACACTCTCTCTTCTGACCTCCATAGGTAGTAGGTAGGCACATGGTACACACATATACATGAGTGTTACTTGGACATACAAATATAAATAATAAATATTTCTTAAATCCAGGAGCTGGAGACATGACTCAGTGGGTACAGGGTTTGCCCTGCACTATGAGGACCTGAGTTCGGATGTCCTCTACTCACGAAAAGCCAGACATGGGAATATGCAACCCCAGTACTCCTATGGCAACACGGGAGGTAGAGGCAGGAGAATCCCAGGACACTCCTTGGCCAGCTGACCCAGTGTACACAGTAGTGCACAAAAGAGACCCCACTTCAAACAAGGTGGAGATGAAGACCAACACCCGAAATTGTCCACACCAGTACCACAGCATGGGTGAACCCCGCCCCCTACATACACATACACACACACACACACACACACACACACACACACACACACACACACACACACGTTTTAAAAAGCCCATCCGGGACTTGCGCTGTGATTCAGTGACAGAATGCTTGTCTTGCAGGTCTGAGATGTGAGACCCTCATCTCAATCCCTACCTTCTCAAGGGAAAATAGCCGCTTGCTGTACACGTATAAGAACGAAGATGTGGGGCACAATATTAGTGCCATGCCGCAACCAGGACAGGCCGCAGACCTGCGAACTTCCTTCCGACACTGCAGGCCCCACAGCACGGCGCTCTGCTCAGTCCTACTGTTCTGTTGTCTAGTCTTAAGACCACCCTGGGTATGGGGCAAAAAGAACTAAGACAGTATCATCATCTTCATGCATTAAAAAAGAAAATGAAACAACGCAAAACAACTCGCCAGGGGGCGCTGTGAAGCCATCTGGATCCTACTTTTAGAATATTGGGTGTGGTGGGGGGGGGGCGGCTGACAAGGTGGCTCAGAGGTAAGGACACTTGCTGCCAAGACTACTAACCTGAGCTGGATCTCTAGAGCCCAAAAGGAGAAAAACAATTCCTACACGCTGTCCTCTGAGCTCCACACATGATGTGGCAAGCGCACGCCCCCTCTCCCTCCCCAAAACAAAAACACACAAGAAAAACTTTAAAAGGATAACATTGGCTTGGGACAGGTCGGGTGTTTTCAAATTAACTACATCAGAACAGCTACATTCAAACAAATCATTGAAAGTCAACTGTGGCAGCACACACTTGTAGGATCAGTACGCAGAAGGAGGAGAGGCAGGAGTTGCCACAGATTTGAGGCTAGCCTGGGCTACACAGCAAGACTCTTGTGAATGCAGGGCAAGCATTCTACATTACCCTGCATCTCCAGTTCTCTTTTTAACTCTCCCTCCGGTTCCTCGATCTTCTGTGTGTGTGTGGTGTGTGTGTGTGTGTGTGTGTGTGTGTGTGTGTGTGTTACTGTATACATGGGTATGAGTTTGTATGTGTTCAGGTCCAGGTGAACATGTGTGCACACAGAGGTTGTAGGTTGATGTCCGGTGTCTTCCTCCATCAGTCTGTGCTGGCTTAGTTTCATGTCAACTTGATACAAGCTAGAGCGGCGGTTCTCAACCTGTGGGTCACAACCATCGGAAAACACCTATTTCCAACGGCCTTAGGCACCGAGGCGCTGCTCGGTCGCAGCGTTACAGCTATGAAGCAGCCGTGAAAATACGTTTATGGTTGGGGGTTCCTCAGTATGTGTCTTCCAATGGTCATGACCCACAGGTTGAGAACTGCTGAGCTCGAGTTATCTGAAAGGAGAGACCCTCAGTTGAGAAAAATGCTTCTATAAGGTCTGGCTGTAGGGCATTTTCTAAATCAGTGACTGATGGGGGAGGGCCCAGCCCATGGTGGGTGGAGCCATCCCAGGGCTGGTGGTCCTGGGTTCTATAAGAAAGCAGGCTGAGCAAGCCATGGGGAGCAAGCCAGTAAGCAGCACTCCTCCACAGTCTGTGCATCAGCTCCTGCCTCCAGGTTCCTGCTCTGTGTGAGTTCCTGCCCTGACTTCCTTTAATGATGAACAGAGATATGGAAGTGTAAGCCGAATAAAGCCTTTCCTCCCCAAGTTGCTTTGGTCATGGTGTTTCATCTCAGTCATAGTGACCCCCAACTAAGACACTCGCATCTTATTTTTTGTGACTTGGCATCTCAGTGAACCTGGATCCTCCCTTTCTGCCCAGTGTCTGGGTTACAGGTGCACACCGCCATGCCTGGCTCTTAACTTGGATGCTGGGGTTCCAAACGCAGATCCTTATGTTTGCACTGCAGGTACTTTCGGCCTGGTCTTATGCAGCCCAGAGTGGTCTTCAACTCACAGCAATCCTCCTGCCTCAGCCCTCTTTCATTTTTTTTTAAATTTCGACTCTAGGTCTCACTACATTGCCAAAGTGGCGTTGCAGTCATCTGTAGCTCAAGCAGGGCTTGAACTTGAGACCCTCCAGTCTCAAACCTAGAAGTAGCTGGGATTAGCCTTGCTAAAATTCGTTTCAATTCAAGTAGGGTGGAGAATGGACCTGGGGTTGGGGATAAATGTATAAGAAAAAAAACCTGCTCTACCTAAGCACATCCCTCTGGGTACTTAACTCTCTGACTCTAGACATGAAAGGAAGTTTGGTAATCGCAGGAGAGAAATCCCAACGAATGCCTATGGTGTCCAGAAGCTTTAGTGATTAGAATAATGTATCGCTCCATTCCCAAAAGCTAACCAAATGCTGCCGATTTCCTCCCCGCATAAACTTCTTTTGGAATGAATCAAAATACCATGAGAACAATGGTAAGACTTATTTTGCTAGAGGAGGTTTGGTTTTAAAAAGCAAATTTTTGATTGGGTTGACCAATTTCGCTGGTTTGAAATTCTTCCTTTGCGGTGCTACCGCTCACGTCCACGAGATGGCAGTGCTGTGCCCCGCGGCCCCTCCTGCAGGGCAGTGTTTCCAGAATACAGGTATCATCCTGAGTGAGGTAACCCAGACTCAGAAGGACAAACATGGTATGTACTCACTCATGAGCGGATACGAGATGTAAAGCAAAGGATAACCAGACTGCAACCCACAGCTCCAGAGAAGCTAGATAACAAGGAGGACTCTAAGAGGGACGCATGGATCACCCAGCAAAGGAGAAATAGATGAGATCTACATGAGCAAACTGGGGGTGAGGTGGGGTAATGGAGGGCAGGGGATGGGGGATGAGAACATAAGGGAATGGGAGGTTCGAGCTGGAGCAGGGACAGAGTGAGAGAGCAAGGAGAGAGATACCATGACAAATGAAGACATCGTGGGAGTAGGGAGAAACAGAGTGCTAGGGAAGTTCCCAGGAATCCACAAGGATGACCCCAGCTTAGACTACTGGCAATAGTTGAGAGGGTGCCTGAACTGGCCTCCTTGGGTAATCACATTAATGAATTTGCTAACTGTCATCATAGGGCCTTCATCCAGTAACTGATGGAAGCAGATGCAGAGATCCACAGCCAGGTGCCAGGCTGAGCTCCAGGAGTCCAACCAATGAGAGAGAAGAGGGATTCTATGAGCAAGGGACATCGAGACCATGACTGGAAAAAGTACAGAGACAACTAGACAAACTAGTGGGAACACATGAACTGTGGAGCCCCCATGGTACTGGACTAGGCCCTCTGGATAAGCGAGACAGTTGTTTAGCTTGAACTGTTTAGGGGACCCCCAGGCAGTGGGATCGGGCCCCATCCCTGGTGCATGAGCCGGCTTTTTGGAGCCCAGTGCCAATGGTGGGACACTTTGTACAGCCTTGGTTCAGGGGGAGGGGCCTGGACCTGCCTAACTGAATGGACCAGGCTCTGCTGACTCCCCATGGGAGACCTTGCCTTGTTAGAGGAGGGAATGGAGGGTGGGTTGGGGGGGAAGGTTGGGGGTGGGAAGAGGGTGGAGAAGGGCAGAACTGATTCTCCCTCCACCTCTCAGGGCTAGCAGCAGAAAGCTGGGCACTTTAAGGAGTCAGGCATTTTTATCTTTATTTTAAACAGCCAAATGCAGACTTCTGTCACCACAAGGAGCAATCTGCTGCTAGGAGCTGCCCAAATTCCAAGCACCTGCTTTCCCTAGTCTAGAGACAGATGGCGCCTCATAAAAATAAAAGCCAGGGAAAATGCACAGAGAAGACGGATTCCTTTAAGAACTCGTTCTGGGGTCCTTGTTCCTAAAATCCAGCGCTACAAACACACATATTTCCTGTTGATACTTTAGCTGGGAATTTGGGAACTGATGCAAAACGTTAAAAAAAAGTTCCCATAGCCTGGTTTATAGACACATGTTTACATATTCCCACAGGAGAGAAAGCCGACCTAGGAATTAAAAATGAGAGCGTATTTGGGGACTCCTACAAATACCTCAGAGCAGCTGTGGTTCCTAACCTTGAACACAGTTGACTATGGCAAGTCCTTTCCAGTTCTTTCATATAACTCTCAAGCACGCCTCAATGGCATAACCTCATTTACATGTGTAGGACTGGCACAGATGAGCGGGACCATCATAAATTGGCCTCCTATGATATGAGTCTCCACAGTAATTATGCAGCCTAGTGTTTCTCAATTCCTAGGAACCCCTGTAGGGCTTATTAAAACACGGCTTTGTTGGCCTGGCTCCCAGATACTCTGCTTTTAGTAAGTCTAGGATTGGACCTGGGAATTGGCATTTCTTACAAGTTCCCAGATGAGGACGAGGCTGGTAGCCTGAAGACCACTGGTGTAGAGCATCCCTTTGACACATTGATGCCAATAATGATTTTTGGGGCCTGTGTCAGCTCCTAGGGAAATACTCACTTTGTACTGGGCACAATGGAAAGATGTCCTTTGTTTATATTAGATGCTGTCATCAGATACAGCCTGCTCCATAAGCACCTGCTTAATCCGATGTGGCGAGACAGCTTTAGCCTTTGAGTGTGCAGGAAGAGTCATCGTCTGGTCTGCTTGGTTTAGTTAGCTGATGTGCAGCCTCACCGGCCACCAGAAGTGGCCGATACATACACAACGTAGCACAATTTCTATAAAGATGTCTGCTGAAATCCAACTCATAATCACCTTATGACTTTTGTTACCTTTCTTTGGTTTTTCAAGACAGAGTTTCTCTGTGTCGTCTTGGCTTTCCTGTTGCTCACTCTGTAGACCAGGCTGGCCTCAAACTCATGGAGATTGTCTGCCCCTGTCTCCTAAGTGCTAGGATTAAAAGTGTTCGCCACCACCACCCAGTGATTTTTTATTACCTTTCATCTTGGGTTTTAGTCTTAACCCTTAAAGAAGCTGGATTCTGCTATCTTAAATCTCTAGCCCAAGGGTTCTCAACCTTCCTAATGCTTCGACCCTTTAATACAGCTCCTCATGCTGTGGTGACCTCCCCCACCATCAAATTATTTCATTGCTACTTCATAACTGTAATTTCACTGCTGTTATGAGTCGTAATGTAACTATCTGATAGGCAGGACATCTGATATGTGACCCCCCCAAAGGGGTCATGACCCACAGGTTGGGAACCACCGCTCTGAGGCACACTCCCATAGATTGAGCTCATCAAATTATGACAGATAGTTGATATGGATAAATTAAGCAGTGTTTAGTATTTATGTTCAACTGGTTTCTTCTATACCCACACTTGGTTAAATTTTAAAGCATGTCTCCAGTGCAAAACACTGCCTTCCTCTTAACACTTGTTTCATACACACTTGAGAACGTAAACATACCTTATTCAGCTTGACAAAATATTCCAGTCCAGCTTCCAAGGGGTTTGTATCACAGTTCATCTGAAAGGGAAACACATTTCGGATCTCGGATGAGCATGTTAATTTGGTTCACATCAGAACTGTGTTGCCTTTAAAAGGTTTAGCACTTCACCAAGATCTGCCTGCCTCTGCCTCCAGAGTCGGGGATTAAAGGAGTGTGCCACTCCCCCACCCCCAGCAAGTCTTAGTACATCTTGGGTAGGGGTGAGGGGTAGACAAGTTCCCCATTACCACAAAGAGAACAGTAAAATGGAAAAACAAACCTATTGCCTTCATTCAGCAAATACTGGCAAACGCTGGCTTCACCCTGGACTGATGTATAAAACTGATTCAAACAGTAACATCACTTTCTTATATTATTCTTTCTAGCAAGGGCACTTCATGGTTTTTGAGTAAGATTCTCAAAAAGACTAATTATGGACTAAGTCTCCAGAACAGTATTTTTAATTCAAAATTCAAATGAAGTCTTCAGCAAATGCTGTCATTTAAATATAGCAAGCACAGAAACAGAGTTGGGATTTGCTGCCACTGCTCCTTTATTTTAAAGATATTAATTAATTAATTTTTATTGTGTGCACATGTATGTGTCCACGTCTGTGTGTGGCTAGGTGCAGGTGTCCTTGGAGAACCAAGGCATCGGATTCCCAGTCCCAGAACTGGAATAACAGGGGGCTGTGGGCTGTTTGAGCAGGATGCTGGGACCTGACCTTGAGCCCTCTGCAAGAGCAGTACTGTTACTGCTCTCAACCACCCAGCCGTCTCTCTGGCCTCTTTTATCTTGATAAATATTTGAAGGCTAGCACATGCTGTTCCACAAACAAGAATCTCGTGTGTATTATGCAATAATTTTACATAATTATGCTTCTTAAAGTTCTTAAGTGACTTTGCTTATCCTGCAATTAGCCATGAATGGGAGTAAAGAGGAAAATGTTGATGGCGGGACACTGGCTTCTGTGGAGTTCAGGAAAGAACAGGGGAGGTAAGGCTGGACCTCAAGAGTGGTTGAATCGTGAGAGGATACATCGATTCAGGGGAAAGCCAATACTTAGTACTAAACCTGAATAAAGTTACGAGGTTTTGTCTCTGTTTTGTTCTTAAGTTATTTTTTTCCTCCTCAAAATTTTATTAAAAGATTCGAATTTATATGATGAGAACTAAGGAAAGATGAAAGTGCTTGAGATAAGCTCTGTGGAAACCGTTAAACGTATAGAAACGGGAACAGACAAGTGCCACGCCGTATTCAGTTACTGTGGTTAAGAACTTTCTAGACGTCAGCCTGTTTTGTCCTCTTTATGGCAATGGGAACTGCTTGCTCTAACCTCCCACAGAGTCAACACAGGACTTACATAAACCAGATAAACATAAGGCTACTTTACACCACGAAAAATTGTTCTCGTATTTCTTAAATCAGTTTGAGTTACCAGTTTGAAATTGTTTTTCAGTCTGCTCAAACTTGGAGAATGTTTTTTTGTTGTTGTTGTTTTCAGGAAAAACAGAGCAGCTTCATCGTTGTTTCAACACTAGAGGGCGCTCTGGCACTGTTGGGAAACAGGGCCCTAAGATGGAGCGCAGCGGGAGGAAGCAGGGAAAAAACTCCCACCAGAATACAGCAATGCTTAACTCTCAGGGGGCTGCCTCTCTGCACTCTTTTGGGGAGATCATGGAGACAAAACTGTCCTGTTTTTCCGAGGGTGCTAGCCTCACCCAAGTCCAGGCTGTAGACTATGCTCTGAAGCAGGCAAGAACTAATTTCCTCCAAGCTCGCTTCTATGCTAAGGCCCAAGACTCCTTACCTGAGCTAGAAATTAATTGTATGGTGTGTTTGTTCGGCTCATAATAAGCCATCTCTGTGTCTATGTTAATTCTGTAGGATAAATGCTCTATTTTATAGAAAGACAGAATTTCCAAGAGATAAGCCACAGAATAAGCATGTGAACGTGCAGGCTGTAGAGGATAGACTTAAACCCGAGAGTCTCCACTCCGAGGCCCATCTTTTCCATGGCCCCTAAAACCTCAGTGTCTTCCAAGGAAATAGTTCTCTGAAAAAGTTAGGAGTTTGGTTTTCTCACAAGGAAATAAAAATAGGTGAATAGGACCTGAATCGGGAATCTGGATCATGTGGTTGGATGTAAAATAAGAGTCGTGGTAACAGTACATTCATGGACAGCTGGGAAGATTGATAGTTAAATGCCAGACTCGTGGGACAAAGGCTTCTAGGTGTGCCTGTAGTGTGCCTTGATTACAACAATTGATGTAGGAAGACCCATCGCGACTGTGGACACTGCATTCCCCGGACAGGGATCCTGGATGAGTTAGAATGCACAAAGCCAGCCCAGCAGCTGAACGCAGGCATGCAGCCATTTCCAATTATGGACATGATATGACCAGATCTCTCAACCTCCTGCGACTGTGACGTCCCCACTATGAAGGACTGGAACTGGAGCTGAGAGCTGAATTCAGCCCCTTCTCCCTGAAGGTGCTTTGGTCGGGGCATTTTACCACAGCCACAGGGAAAAACAAAACCTAAGGCAGAAGCTCAGTAGAATCAATGGGTATAAAAATGTTGCATAAATGGTAAGCATTATCCAAAGAGAAACCCTTGGTTACTGCTATTACTGGTGGGGGATAGAACAACACAAACAGGACCACTGTGCCCGCCCCTCAGGAAAAAGAACATTCCTTCACCCAAGGATGTTTTATGAGAAAAAAATAAGACACAACGTAACAGAGGAGAAGGCAGGGATTTGAGGGGCGATAGTCGAATCCTCAGAGGATGTCAGAAAATGTCTGGGGTTCACCACCAAGCCGGGGGGGGGGGGACGGTATTTAGGCAGAATAAACATTATCCCAGAACCCAGTCAATGTTCAGTGGTAAATAGGGGTGCGTCCTCTTTCCCTCACCAAAGTCATCTAAGAGTGTATGATTTCTCTTACGGCCAGAATTGATAGTGATACTGTCAAAACTTGCCCTCCATCAAAAATTGGAAACAACCAGCATAAGGTTTTAATGAGGACGATAGTATCCAAACCTCTGATCCCCAGGCTCGGAAAGCTTTCTCCAGTCTTAAGGCATTCAGGGCATATGTTCCAAAATTGTCGATCCTCTCCTCCTGGCCTGCGTTCATGATGAGTTCATATAGCGCTGCGGAGTCTTCTCGTCTGTGGTACAGCTCCCACCCCAGCTCACCTGAAAAGCACGGGCAGAGCCCACACAGGAGTGAGAGCAGTCCTTGCAGGGTGAGCACTCACGTACATTAGCTAACACACTCAGGAGGAGCCCCACTCACACAATGCAGTCCTTGCCAGTTTTTAGCAGAACAGCTCACAAGGAGCTGGCCATCTCATCTCCCAGGTCATTTGCGTGTAGTCCTGGCTCCCTCAGAGGGTGGATGCTGGATGATTCATCATCTCCAGAGACAGACAGACTCTAGTCAGGACTTATCTCCCACCGTGGACCTTGGCTCCATCCCAAGCCTCGACTGTTTCAGGACAATGATAGGAGGTAAACAGCTGGCATGTATTTTCAAGGGGTTCAGCTGGATATGGGGAGGACATCTATGATGCCTACACTCAGAAAGTTGAGGAAGGATTGTGACTGCAGGGCTAACCTGGGCTACTGAAACGCTGTCTAAAAACAAAACAAAATAAAAGCCTTAAAGAGCCAGTTCAGACAGTAATGGACTTACCATGTACTTAAGCATGAAGGCGTGAGTTTGATCCTGAGAATGCACATTTTTAAAAAGCACGGGGTGGGGTGGGGGTACTCAATGGCTCAGTGAGTAAAGGTGACTGCTGCCAAGCCTGATGACCTGTGTTTGATCCCTGAGATCCACCACACACTGGAAAGAAAGAACTGGCTCTTGCCAGTCACCCCGTGTGCTGGGGAAGTAGGCACTCTCTCTGGCCAGCCAACAAGGTACCATCCAGGGTTGATCTCTGGCCCTCACATGCACACATGTGGACCCCCACAAACATGCACACACATATGCTCACATACACAAAAACATATGATAATGAGCTCAAGGTTTAGGCACTCTGGTTTCCAACCCAAGAACCACAAGCCTTTAAACATATAGAGAATGTGAAATTATTCGCATTTCTTTCTCATGGATAGCCAGCTATAGCCTTTAACTCTTTTGCTTCTCATCCCTCCACCCCCCGACATGATCCTTTCATTCACCACTAGAGCTAGGTGCTAGAAAACCAAAGAAAAGAAAAGCTACAATCCAAAGACTCCTTATTTTTTTATCCCAGTCTCCCTTTTTGCCAAGGTCGGGAAAAGTTAGAATGGAAAGCCAGGGATTTGTGATGTTAACAGTGAGCACATTCCTTGTACCCCATCATCACGGTTGATAATGATGGACTTCACCATGACACCACCAGAGCAGGAGCAACATGGAGCGAGGTGAATGCCTGGGCACACAGCGCCCCTTCAGTAAGGGGACACAGGAGTGACAGGAACTAGAGGTAAGCCTGAGTGTCACTGGGTAATGATACATACTCCGTGCAAAGCTGGGCGAAGGTCCCCCAGAGAACACACAACAGTGGTGGTGGGGGGGAGGATTGCCAGGGACCATGCTCTAGTGCAATGGTTCTCAACCTGTGGGCCTCGACCCCTTTGGGGGGTCAAACAACCCTTTCACAGGGGTTGCCTAGGACCATCAGAAAACACAGACATTTGCATTATGATTCATAACAGTATCAAAATTAGTTATGAAGCAGTAACAAAAATAATTGTATGGTTGGGGGTCACCACAACATGAGGAACTGTACCAAAGGGTCACAGCATTAGGAAGGTTGAGAACTACAACCCTAGTGGAAAGCTTGGCATGGGCACATCAGGCTGGAAGCCTGTGAGTGTTCCCATACAGTCTACTGACTGGGGTGTTCTAGTTACTCCAATGGCCATCCTTTGCTCCTTTGTCTGCTCTTCCAAAGAGAAGCAACTAGAAATGGGTGGAAACGCTACAGGAGTAGGAACGGCCAGACAGACTTCTTTCCTTAGAGTTGGGCAGAAGAAATCTTCCTTCAAAATCAGAGAAAGTCGGGGAGGGGAGTGTGCATGAGTGGTCATGGGTAAGTTTGAGTGTGTGTGTGAGTGAGCACATGAGTGTGAGAGTGTAGAAAGGTGAGCATGAGTGTGTGGGAAGGCGAGTAGAAGTGTGTGTTCAGGTAAGTGTGTGCATTGAAAGGTGTGACTGTGTGGGGGGGTAATGTGTGAGCATGTGAGTATGTGTGAGCATGCATTGTGAGGGTATAACTGTGTGTGGGGGTATGTGTGAGTGTGTGAGTGTGTGTGTATGAGCATTCATTGTGAGGGTATGATTGTGTGTGTGGGTATGTGTGAGTGTGTGAGTGTGTGTGTGTGTGTGTGAGAGAGAGAGAGAGAGAGAGCATGCATTGTGAGGGTATGACTGTGTGTGCGGGTGTGAGTGTGTGAGTGTGTGTGTGTGTGTGTGTGTGTGTGTGTGAGAGAGAGAGAGAGAGAGAGAGAGAGAGAGAGAGAGAGAGAGAGAGAGAGCATGCATTGTGAGGGTATGACTGTGTGTGTGGGTATGTGTGTGTGTGTGTGTGTGTGTGTGTGTGTGTATGAGCACGCATTGTGAGGGTACAACTGTGTGAGTGTGCATGTGTGACTGTGTGTGTCCCATTTCTGGTAGCCTTTCCTTACTATGGGTTGTTTTCCAGTCCTTACCAGTATAAGAGATCCTTATAGCAGTGACAGGAATGTCAGACATCTTTAAAGTCTTGGTTTGGAGAAACTTGAAAACACCATCGCTGAGGTCTTCTGAGGTCAGCTTCTGAAGGACCCGCCTGGCATACGGCCCTGCCACTCCCAGGACCCCGAGATCATCAGTTATGTTTCGAATTTCAACATTATACCCTCCTCTGACAGCTGCTTCTTCAATCCATCTGCATCGGGGTCATAAGCACTGTGTAAGCGTCGCTTGGATAATGCAGGCTTCGAACGTGTTATGTCTCTGAAGACTTGCTTCAAGTTAGGAATGATCAGAAAGTCCCTAGAGGGTCATGGCATGCAGCCACATCACTTTGAAAGCTGGCAAAACCGAGTCCCCGAGAGGTAAAGAGATTCTCTTTAAATTGCCCACTTAAGACTCGGGAGGGAATTTTCCAGGTAACAAGAATTGTCCGGTTTAAACGAGCTTTGCCACAGTTATAAATAGTGATGGTTCCGCTGCATTTAAACTAATGGTTCCCTCTCCAAAAATTAATTTAAACCTGAATTTGCTTCAATACCTGTATACAAGATGCACACTTGTGCTGCTAGCCATTAATAATGTGCCTGCCACCAGACACATAATTGCTCTGACAATCACCAAGAAAAGAGAAAAACTCTGCTCTCAATTTCTAGGCCTTGATGAGGTTTTGGAAGGCAGCTCTCTGGCCTGTCTGTAATTTATTGAGCCATCCCTGGAGCCCTGGGAGTCTATCACAGTGTTCGTCTAGACGAGGAGAGGCTTTAGTGGCTAAGGTGACCTCCACACCCCTTACACTTGCTCATCAGATTTCCATAATTCTACAACTAAGGCAAGACTGAGTCAGACCCTGATTTAATAATAACGTCCCGTGTACTTGCGGAATACTAAACTGAGGATGGAAACTTCACAGCGGCCTGGAAGTCCCGGCAAAGGCAGGTCAGCAATTTTTAAGTAGTGAGCAGTGTGCACAGGTTTCACAGAGGGAGACAATAACTAAGGGAGTAGGCTGGCTGAAGTGAACCCAATGGGGTACCTTAATCAGTCATGCAGACTTGAGCGGTGACTTTCCCACACCTGTTTCCTCATCTGAAAATGTGGATAATGCAAACTTTGCAAAATCTTTTCATTTGGCACATGCATGTGTATTCACACATGTTGTATGTGTATGCACATGCGTGTGTATGTGTGTGTAGAGGACCAAAATTTCACATTGAGTATCATCCTTGATGGTATTCCACCTTATAGTTTGAGGCAGGGTCTCTCACTTGAACCCAAAGCTTGTCTACTCAGATAGTGTAGCTAGCCAGTTTGCTCTGGAGATGTGCCATCTCTGCTTCCTAAGTGCTGGGGTTACCTGCAAGCCATGGTGCCTGTCTGCCATTATATGGTTGCTGGGGAGTCTAAACTCCAGCTCTCGTGTTTGTGAAGGATGCAGCTACCTACAGAACCGTCTCCCCAGCCCCTGCAAAATCTAAGAGAATTCAATGAGGTCATGTCTGAAAGGAGTTCTGGCTCACTGATGATGTTTAATAAATAAGAGTCAATATTATCAGAACCAGTATCCCCGCTGGATAGGTGACCTTGTGGAGTGGGCAGGGGCTTTTGCTTCAACTATTCCTATAAAACACATGAGGTTTAGTCACGTTGGTGAGGTTTAAGAATTAAAGTCAGGGGCTGGAGAGATGGCTCAGTGACTAAGAGAGTCGAGGCTCATGCAGAGAACTAGAATATGGTTCTCAGCACCCACGTATAATTCACAGGCACCTGTAAATCCAGCTCCAGGGGATCTGATGCCTTATTCTGACCTCTTCAACACCTGCATGCACATGCACACATACACACTCACACACACTCACTCACATGTACATTCACTAAACACACACACACACACACACACACACACACTCAAATACACACATACTTTAAGAAAGAACTAAAGTTGTTCTTTATGTACTGTGTGATGATTATCTTTGTTTTATTTATGTGTGGGTGTATTTTGCCTACATGTATGTGCCTGGAAATCCCAGAGGCCAGAAAAGGACATCAAATCCCCTGGAACTGGAGTTAAAATGGTTATGAGCTGCCACGCTGGTGCTGGGAATCAAACCCTGGTCCTCTGGAAGAGATACCAGTGCTGCTAATGGCTAACCCCCCCCCCCAGTCACCATGATGAGTATCTCTAATTGTCAACTTGATGCAACCTAGAGTCATCTGGGAAAAGAGTCTCAATGGAGAATGGTGGTCTATGGACATGTCTGTGGGGCATTGTCTTAAGTTAAATGATGTAGGAAGACTCATTCCATTGTGGTAACACTCTTCCCCAGGCAGGGGGTCCTAAATTGTATGAGAGTAGAAAATGGAGCTAAGTACAACCAAGTGATTGCTGTGGGATAATGCTCTTGTGCACTGAAAAGAATTGTCACTCGAATTGGTTTAATAAAATGCTGATTGGCCAGTAGACAGGCAGGAAGTATAGGTGGGGCGACCAGATGAGGAGAATTCTGGGAAGAGGAAGGGCAGAGTCAGGAGTCACCAGCCAGACGCAGCGGAAGCAAGATGAGAATGCCAGACTGAGAAAAGGTACCAAGTCACGTGGCTAAACATAAATAAGAATTATGGGTTAATTTAAGTGTGAGAAAGAGGAGAGAGAGGTGGCTCAGCAGTTAAGAGCACTGACTGATGCTCCAGAGGACCTGGGTTCAATTCCCAGGCCGTCAGGTGTCCATTCATGCCAGGATAAAATAAAAAAAATAAATATAGGAAGGAAGAATTTAAGTGTAAGAGCTAGTAATAAGCCTGAGCTACTGGCCAAGCTTTTATAAGTAATATTAAGCCTCTAAGTCAATTATTTGGGAAGCGGCTGCCAGGTATTTGGGAGGTGCTGGCTGGACAGAAACTTCTGCCTACAAGTGACTGTGCATGCATTCTCTTGATCGCACACGGAATATGAGTAGCTGCTTGAAGTCCCACCTGCCTTGACTTCCCCACAATGATGGACTATAGCCTGAAGTTGCAAACTGAACTCAGTGTCTTCCTTCTCTGAATTGCTTTTTGTCAAGGTATTTTATCGCAGCAAGAGAAATGAAACCAGAATGTGCTGGCACAAGAGAAACTCTTTTAAGATTGAGCCAGGGTGTCACTGGTTCAAAATGATTTTACTGGATGCATATTTACCTAAGATCGTGAAGCTCCGATCCAGAGCCGGTAATCAACAGGAACTCCCCCGGAGACTGGTGCGAAACAGTCAGCTCAGCATACACTCGACCTTTGGGTGTCAACATGTGACTTATGTTTGTAAACCCCACCTGCTCAAAAGAATTTAAAATCATTTTAGGATGAATTAAACATCTTAACATACATGTAAAGTGTGTGGACCATGAAAAACCCTCACCTCTTATCATTTATATCACGTATATGAACCAAACCAGAGATTAATTTAAATTTTCCATTTAAACAATCATACAAAATTATTTGTCCTAAAAAGAATTGTACTTCAGAGCTGGGAAGATGGTACTGGGGTAAGGGCAGTTTTGGCCAAAGCTGACACCCTAAATTCAACCCCTGGAACCCACAGGGTGAAAAGACACTTGCAAGTTGTCCTCTGACCTCTACACGCATGACACACATAGATAAATTAATGTAATAATTAAAAAACACCACATCCACTTAACTGCAGTCAACTTTTAGGATCTCATTGGTGCAGTAAATGAAATCATTAGTTCCCTAGGCGACAGAAATTGCAGTTGAGAATTAGCTTGCACACTCTCGGTCAGTTGAAATGTTCTAGCATCCAACTCAGAGTACGTGGAATCAAAGGAGGATGGGTCTGAGGTGTTCTTTTTTGAAAGGACCAGGTCAGAATCCTGGACCTTGTCTATTTACCTTTGGAATGACATTTGCAAAGAGATGGTCCAGAAGTCGGATGGAATCTTGGCCTTTGATGTTGAACTTGCCAAATGGAGACAGGTCAATTACACCAACTCTTTGCATAACCTGTTTGTACTCAGAACCTACTGGCTCAAACCAGTTTGTGCGGCGGAAACTTGGCCTGAAACATGATATTTACTATTCAAGACAATTGTCATCCAAAGAATATTTCAATCATTCCCCCTCAATCTAGAAAAGCCTGCTGGGCTGGAAGAGGGGCAACCTCAATCTGTTCTGTAAATCGTATACACATGTTGGAATCTGACCTTTTATAGTTTACTTATCTATCCATTTCACCCATTTTATAGTGAATGAGTGTTAATTAGCGAGGAAAAATAGGACAGAACTCTTGGGTATGCTGGTCTGAAGGGCAGTGTATAAAGCAACAGTCCAGGGGTTTTGAACCCTGGTTGCATATTAGAATCATCTAGGGAGCATTTTTCTTTTCTTTTCTTTTTCTTTCTTTCTTTCTTTCTTTTTTTTTGGGGGGGGGTGCTCTTTTATTTATTTATTTATTTATTTATTTATTAAGAGATTTTTCTATTCGCTTTACATATCAACAGCAATTTTCAAATACCAGTTGTTAAGGCTCATTAAATCTGAATGCAGTGTGTGTGTATACACACATGTATGTATGGATGTTCTGCATGTGTCTGTACACATGTGCATGTATATATATATATATATATATATATATATGTGTGTGTGTGTGTGTGTGTGTGTGTGTGTGTGTGTGTGTGTGTCTGTGTGTGCATGTGTGTGCACACTCACACATGACTATATAGCCAGCCCTTCTCCAGAACTGTGAATACAAGTCACTTTCACTTGTTAAAAAGGGGTTGGGCACCATGGTGGGCTGCAAGGAGTGCCTACGTCTGAAACAAGCAATGGGCTAGCCTAGCACTTTCACTTTTCAGGGAAAAGGCACAGAGTGGCTTCTGGGTCTTTTGAAGCAGCTGATGACAGAGTTGGGTCTAGAACAAAGGTCTCCTGACTCATTTCAAAAGGTCCTTTCCACTTAAGCAAATGGCTTCTAAAGTGCTGTTTTTAGCTTCAAAGCAGGGAGCTAAGTCTGCAGGATTTTCCAGTAGCTTAACTATTAAAATCTAAAAACAAATTAAGCCAGATCTAAACCTCACAAAAGGAAAAACAAAGCTAGTATTTATCCGAGTCACTCCTGGAAAACCAAGCAGGTACTGGGGCCCCGAACATGCTGGGTCAGCTGCTTCTAGAGTGAAACCCTCGTTCATTCACAGCTGCCCCACTTCTGTAGTTTACACCACTGATCTGAATTTAAAGTAGACGCCAAAACCTGTGTTCCCTGTGCATGCATGCTCATGTGTGGGTGCATGTGCACATATGTGCATGCTGAGGCCACAGGGCAATCTCAGGTGCCATACCCCAAGAGCCATCTACCTTCTCTTATTACCAAGACAGGATCTCTCACTGGCCTGGAGTTAGCCAATAGGCTAGGCTGACTGGTCAGCAAGATTCAGGGATCCACCCATCTCCACCTCCTTAGCACTGGGATTACAAGCATGCACCCCTACACCTGACTTTTATTCACGTGTGCTGGGGATCAGACTCAAGCCCTCATATTCTGTACAGCAAGTGCTTCATCATCTGGACTATCATTCTAGCCCCAAAGCCTGTTTAAAACTGCAAAATGTGCACTTGACAGTAACTGGAAATCATCTTCTAGACTTGCTATTCACTTTTCCTTAGTTCACAGGTTCTCATGAGAAAATAATCACCATCAACCCCAGGTCCAGCAATGACACACAGCACTTCCCAGGAACTCAGAGGCCCATTTAGGTGGCATGCCTGATGTTTTAGTTCAACCCAAAATGCGGGTGCTCTTGGCTGTTTCGTGACCCAGAGCTGTGGCTCCTTTCCATGTAGTATTTGAACCTAAGGCACAACAAACCTTCTGTAGTCAATCAAAGCCATGTCAGGACTTGGATGGGGACAAGGAAAGGACCTCTGAGGTTCTGGTAATTGCCGGTAGAAAAGGCTTCACAGAGACTGGCCCATGTCCCCTGGGCTGACCTAGTGAATACCTCCACCACAAGCAGATACATGATACCCGAGTAGACTCACTGCTTCTCTGAAAGTGATGCACAGTTATGATCGGAGGAGAATCCGTGGCCTGCTGTCCTTCTCTGCCCTTGCGGTGGAAGCCCTTGATCAGAACCACAGGCAGGCGAAGACACTCACTTACCTGTACTGAGTGTCCTGGCCGGGTTTATAGAACCAGTGTGGCTGTTCCCAGCCTGCATGGAAGCCCATGGAACACTTGGACGCCAGGGTCTTGTAAAGCCCACTGACCCTCTGGGTTGGCCTCCCGGCAAACCGTTCTTCTTTAGGATAACCGACTGAGGAGGGAACAGCAGTGTTCTAGTAGCTTATCACCGAAATGACACAATATACTGAGAGGATTTTAAAATGGAAACAATAGAACTTACAATCTAAGAGCATATATACATGTACATATACATACATACATATATATATATATATATATCAATGACGTACCCAATACAATAACTCTATACAGCCACATACATCCCTTGCTATGGCTTAAGTGCTGTTTACAGTTCCTCACCACCCCCGGGGGACAGAGCAGAGCGTCTAAACAGAGGTCTGTCGAGATGTCAGCAAGTTGGTACGTCACCAATGTTGTTGAAGCCGTACGATTCTCTGGCTTTGGCCTCCGTATACTGTGCCGTGGTCCATTTGCCATAGCGGTTGGGGTCCAGTTCTATCAGGTCGAAAGGGGGTTCTCCATGTAGGATCCAGTCACTGAGGTACTTCCCTACCCCACCAGCATGGATTATGCCGTAGCTTTTGGATACAGAGATTGGTGCCATGTTACAAATGTGGTGTATTCAAATGGTAAGACATGTTCAAATATCTTACAGGGCATCAAAGTTGGAGTCACCTGTGCCCGTTAAAACACACAAGGAGTACAATCTTTATGCTGTACATTTTTTTCATCAAAACCAGATCACCGCACGTTCTGGCATGCAAATGAAAGGTGCCTAACTGACTGCTGCCTTGTTTTCACAGTTCCACCAGGCGGGATACCAGACCCACAGATAGCCTGTGGCCACTGCCTAGTAAATACGCTGGCTTTAGGGAGGATGTATGTGGTGGGCACTCACCTTCTTGAGCTGGGATTTCCCTGCCTGATAGAAACTGGGAGGTGCCCCTCCATCTCTTCCCGACTCAGTGTAGTGATGATTCTCTTGGATGATGGTGGCCTCTGTGCAAGGAACCTTTAACTTAGAGGCACTCAGCCAGAGGCAGGCACCCAGTGGGGACTTGTGGGCGAGGGCAGAAAGGAATATGACCTCTGTAATTTGCAACTAATAGGTCCCTTGGAGGAGAAGGTCTGCTTGTCCCCTGTTTCCACAAGAAGATGCGTTGGGGTCTCATGTAAACCAGGCTGGCCTCAGACTGACTTCCTAGCTGAGGGTGACGAACTTCTGATCTTCCTCCCCCTCCCTAGCTCTGGTATCACAGGGATATAGCACTATGCCTGGCTTATAGGGCACTGGGGATCAAACCCGGGGCTTTTTTTTGTTTGTTTGTTTGTTTTTGTTTTTTTTTTTTTTTTTTCGAGACAGGGTTTCTCTGTGTAGCTTTGCGCCTTTCCTGGGACTCACTTTGTAGCCCAGGCTGGCCTCGAACTCACAGAGATCCGCCTGGCTCTGCCTCCCGAGTGCTGGGATTAAAGGCGTGCGCCACCACTGCCCGGCAAAACCCGGGGCTTTTTGCATATCAAGTTGGCATTCTATCAACTGAGCTACATTCCCCAGCCCCCAAGGATGCTTTAAACAACACGTATGATTGCATGTGATATCAGAATCACAGTTTCCAGTAGGCTTTATGCAGGTCTACCTGCCCGTTCTTATCCATCAAAGCCTTTCAACATAGATCTATCTGTGGTGCCATGAAAAGGAGCTTTTGAGGAACTGAATGGGGTGAGATTCTTGGAGAGAGAATCGAGGGAAATTGGTACTAAGTTGTGAGAACCCCATTCAATCCCTGGGTTTGATCTCCATTACCACATATTTTAAAAATCCTAACAAAAGAACTCCAGCATCCCCCAAACTATAGTGACTTAACAACCAGCACTTTACTTCTAAGAAGTGTGAGAGGAATTTGGCAGATGGCAAAAGGCTTTCTCCACCACTGCACTCCTTTAGAAAATGGATGTCCCTTGCCTGTTACCAAGTTAGTTCCCAAGGAGAACGCAAAGGCATCACTTGGTGCTTGCATCATGAGGCCTGGCGCAGAGCTGCAGTCATTAAAGATGATTTGAACAAACAGCCAATAGAATAAAGAAGAAAACTAGAGTATTAGAAACTGTGATTTGGCAGCAAAGTGAGTCTGACATCAATAGTCAGCATATTAATGGGACAAATACTAGAAATGAAACACGGGCAAGGAGTGGAATCTTAAATAGGAAGCAGCCCAGGGAGTTATACAGAGGGAAATCACGTTAGACAAACAGGAATTATGGTGAAAATACATAAGACATGTTATCCATTTGATAGTTTGAATATGTCACCTTCTGTTATGAAAACATTCTTGTCCAATTGGGACAAATTGACCCATTGGAAGGCAATGGCATAAAAAGAGACATAAAGAATGGAGGTGATAGGAAATACATGAAGACAGTTTCAGAAGATGATTGTCCTCTGTGTGCTAACCTTTATCGTCTAAGTGCTAATCCCATTATATGACTAGTTCCTGCCATCATTCCTTGGTCATCAAAAGGAGACAACCCCACCCTCATCTTACCCACCCCCACCCCCACTGCATCCCCATGCTCCATCACCTCTTCATTTTCCATCCTGGGGCCTGATATTTTGAAACTGGATTTAACTAAAAGTAAGTGATTCTACAAGAGATGTCAGACCTCAGGGTGCTACTCACCCAAAGCCTATGGCCACCCAGTAGTTTCTGACCCCCTGATGGGGCCCCACCATAGGCAGGATGTCGGGAGAGTAGGTGATGGGGCCGTTGACGATGTTGATGATGTCCGCCTTTTTCAAAACAGGAACCATTTCCATGGCAGCTTCCAGGTGGTCTGTGATCCGGTCCAGGTCAGACTCAAAAAGTTCCTTCCCAAAGCCTAGAGAGACAGACCTCTGTGGTCAGAATGTCCCCGGGTGCAAGCAAGTCTCAAAGCGATGCACTCTCTGAACCGGGTGCCAGTAAGGAAGACATTCCTTTGTCTCTATAAAGACGCTAAACTTGGGGCCAGTGACATGGTTCAGGGTAAAGGCACCTGCCACCAAGCCTAACAATCTGAGCTCATTCCCTAGGCAAGAACTGAGCCCTGGAAGTCATCCTTTGACACCCCCTCCCCCCTCCCCACCCCACCCCCACATACACCGTGGCATTTAAATGTCCACATACACATCTCAATCAATCAAGGTAAAAGACATTAATCCTAACCCTGGCACTCCCTATCCCCACACCAGTACCCATAACATTCCTGGGAACAGTAATGCTATTTCTTTCTAAAACAAAAGTCACCTTTTTAGTAAATAGAAATGGAAGTTTATGTTCGGGTTTTTTTTTTTCCCCAATCAATTTAACCCAATCATTATTTTAAAAAGAAAAATAATTTGGTTTGTCGGGAGTTTGTTTGTTTGTTTGTTTTGTTTTTTAAATCTTTCAATTAATGTAAAAGGGAGAGCAAATGGAGCGTATACAGTTATTCCAGGACCCTGGAGAATGAGGACCACTGCTCCAGGATCCAGGATGGTGGACTTAAGAACCCTTTGAACTCCCCCTTCCCCAGGTAGCCTCCTTCCTGAAGCTTGCTCCCATGTGCATCCACACAGGCCACTGTTCTGTGCACAGAGGTGAGTTTTGCGCAACAACTATCTTCCTCTTGTCCTAGAAGTCGCTGTGACTCAAGGCACAGCCACAGATAAACTTCATGACGTTTGTCCACATAATTTCCACCCGGGTTTTTAGCCCTTCTTGAGGTCTGCAGGACAGGGCAGTGTCATGGAGCCTCCAAGCTGGCTTGGTTACACTAGAACACCTGGACACCCATGCCAGGAGCAACACACAGTCCGAATCTCCCTCCAGCTAGGATTAGTTAAATATTTGTTCTGCATTTATTGGGAAGAAAAGCTACAGCATGGGCAGGGTGGAGACAGAGCCCCTCCTCACACCGGCCTCCCCTAGCAGCTCAGCCCTCACTCTGAAGTCAGGAGAGATTCTGTTCAGACCCAGATGTGCAGGGCCCACTGAGCAAAACCAAAGTCCTCCGGCTGCAGGACCAGCCTCTGCAGGAGGTGAGGTGGGTCAGACACCCTTTCCCGTTACACGGGATGGAGGGATATGTTCTCTGCCCCAAACTACGTATCAACATACAACTCCAAAAAAAAATACACTTTTATTTTTCTTCATGTTCCCTCAAATATTTCAGCGCCCAAACCATATGTTAGCTCCTTTTACAGACTAAAACTAGAAGGTTTGGGAGATGGCTCTGTCTAGAAAAGAACTGGCCTTGCAAGCAGAAGGACCTAAGTTCAACCCCAGAGCCCATGTTTTAAACAAACAAACAAATAAATAAATAAATGAAAGCTGGGTGTGGCTGCATGCACTTGTAATCCCAACACTAGGGAGGTGGAGGCACAGTGGATCCTGGGGCTCACTGGCCATCCATCCTAGCTTCTGATGGGTTCCTGGCCAGTGAGAATCTCATCCCAAAAAGTAAAATAAAATGTAGACATGTAGATAATGTTCCCCAGGAGGTTCTCAGGGCTTCACATGTACACACATCTGTGCATACATGCACTCGCATACATGGACACGCACATACACACAAGATTAAAACTAGGGACTTCTGCCTAGATAACCCAATTCTTGATTTGGCTTCATGGAAATGTTTCATGGGGAAAAAAAAATGAAAAACCAAACAAAAAAACCTTGGCCCTTCTCCGCTATGGCACCAGAACAGATGGCGCCTCCTGTTGCCGCCTAGAGCTCTGAGCCTTCCCTGCTTGTGAAGTGCAGGAGGGCTCTGCCCATAGTTCCAGCTCTGCTGAGGACTCTGGCCTGCATTCTTTGCAGGCTGGATGTCCGGTCTTGGGTACTTGCAGTGTGGACAACTGTCAGAGCACGTGCATCCATCTGTATTCAGATCTTGAAACTAGACCAAGCAGGCAGATCGAGGGCAAGGGGCTGGCAGAAGGTTGGCATGGGCAGATGAAAATGTACCTGGAGCCTTTCCCAGCGGCCCCGGCACAGGCGTCATCTTCTCTCCTCACCCAACTGCACCTCTCTCCCCCCTTTCCTCGGCTCTGCTTACCCTCCACAAGGGTATGGAGACAGTCACCTCCAGCCCCTCGCTCACGCCATCCCAGACACCTGAAGGCCAGCACTGGGGTTCTGTCTTGCTGTCTACCTGGCTCCCAGCCGTGGGGAGTTGACCCATCTTTCCTGCTTCTTGCCCCTTTCATTCGCCGAACCCACCTGGAGGGACTCCGTGAGTGACCCAGGAGGCCTGGAGTTTCATCTTCTCCTGACTTTCGTAGGGGCCAAACAAAAGCCCGTCCCTTTCCTGTCGGAGGTAGTAGGATCCTTCCAGGTCACGGAGTACCGGGAGTTCTCGTTTCAAAGCTTTCACTTCCGGTATTGTTGATGTGACCACGTATTGATGTTGTACAGGGATGAGAGGATGCTCTAGTCCAATCATTTTGCCTACTTCACGAGCCCAAAATCCTTAAGTGAGAAAATCGTTTAAAAATACATCACCACGTGTATACATATACCTATGGCATTGATATACAATTTGTATTTAGAAACATCTTCATTTTTTATGTGGTTCCAGTGCTGGAGATCAAACCAAAGGCCTGGTCCATGCTTGCCAGGTGGAGCTCTACCACTGAGCCATATCCCCAACCTCCTAAGTATCTTTGAACATTGAAAAATTGAATGGAAGGAAGGGAGGAAAAGAGGGAAGATGAGACAATAGTGGGCATTGTCCAGAGTTCTGATGATTATCTGAAAATCAAAGGTGCTCCTTCCATGGAAAAACTTATTATTCACAAGCTAAGGTGATCAGAAAAAAATGAAAGGGAAAAAAAGTAACCCAAACATTTTATATATATATTACAAGAAAGGTGGTACAAGCCCTGCCTATAGACAGAAACAGTTAGGCAAAGGGCGAGTCCTTGTGTGGATGTGATCAGCACAGTTCAGAACATCACCACCTGAGGCAGCTCTCCAAGTCAGCTCCCACACCCTCCAAACCTGCTCACCTCAAATTGTTGAGTCAAGGCTCTTCTGTTGACTTAAAATTTAGAGTCTATGTACTTTGGGAGGGAGAACAAACACATTAAGTTCTGCTACTTCCAGAGTGACAGTGAGCTCGTGAAGCTCCTTCTTGGAAAGCACTGTAGTCAAAAAGCAGGAGAAACTGGTAGGGAAGCTCAGTGGTGAGACTTTGAGTTATGTATGAGGCCCTGGGTTCAACCCTAGCACAGCAGAAAGGGAAACAACAAGATGGAGACTGGGCACATCAGTTCCTAAAGAAGATGTTTTCCCCTGCACATCATTTCCCAAGGCTAGACCTGGATATGTATGTCTGAAAGACCCTAGAGACTATGACCATCAAATCTAAAAGGTTTTGCTGCTGCTGCAAGACTTTAGTGTCTGTCTGTCTCTGTCTCTCTCTGTCTCTCTCTCTCTGTGTGTGTGTGTGTGTGTGTGTGTGTGTGTGTGTGTGTGTGTGTCTTTTTTTAAAACATGGGGTTACATGTAGCCAGAGCTGGCCTTAAACACTTAATGTTTAAGTGTTTACTGGTACTGAACTTCTAAACTTCTGGCCTCCATCTCCCTAGTCCAGGACTCCAGACTTGAGTCACCCAATTAGCAAGACATTATTTTAAATAAACATCACACCTTTACCAATAAAAGGGTATTTCAGCATCTAAAATGATCAATGTGGGTTTTTTTTTTTTTTTTTTTTTTTGGACAAAGGAGTGGTGTTGTTTCACCCATCAATTAATTATTTGTAGGGAGGGACTTCTGTTGACCGGCTTGTTTCATAGCAGTTTTGAGTAATTATCAAAGGACTGACAAACCCTCTCAAATACTGCTGTTTTTTAAGTTGTAGTCTAAAATTTCAACAGTTTCTGTTTCTGCTTTTTAAAAGAATCTGGCAAAGGGTTCTGAGATCTTCATCATTACATAGCTCAAGGCTAGGGATGGAAGTACCCATGAGTCAGCCTGGGAACTCAGAGCAGGTCCCCAGAGCAGGTCCCCAGAGCAGGTCCCCAGAGCAGGTCCCCAGAGCAGCTAGCCCTTGTCTCCATTTGAGCAAATGCCATCTATATGCTCTCTTGCTCGGTTTTGGTCTGTCAGGTTGTTCATGCTTGAGTAATCACCCACCACAGGCTGCCCTTTGTAAACTTGGAATCCAACCTGTGGGCATCAGAGGCATGTGCTGGTCTTCAATAATTTAGAGACTTAATTTACTGTTTCCTGTTGAAAGGTACGAATTACCAATGTCGGAGCTTTGTAGAAAAATATAGTAAAGCTATATATTGTCGTTATACACACTAGGACAGTTTTTAAATCTAAAGTCAAACATTTAGCCAAGTAATTCAAAGTAATGCATGTCCCCAATCTAGTTGTTCCCATTAAAAACATAAATTGAAGAAAATAAATTCTGTCCTATTCAAACATAATTACAAATTTCTGAGTTCGATGCCTTGCTTATTAATGCATTTTATCATTAAAATAAACTATCCATGTTTGCCCGCAGCTCATCTTACTGTATTGCTTTAAATCCCACAAGCTCCCCACCGGTTACCCTTTGGTGTTGGAGTGTGAGACGCCTCCTTTTCTGTATTAAATTAATCTAAGTCCAACCAGGATTATACTTCAACTCCTGCCAGAGCGCCCAGCAACCAAGGTCAACGCAGTGAGTCAAGCATCGAAAAAAATCATCCTAAAAGGAAGTCACTGAAGGGCCCATAAGGGGGAGCACAGAAAACAGCCCCTGTTTAAAAGAGTGCAGAGCTGGTCATGTACCTCAGTGGTAGAGCCTTTACCCAGCATGTGTGAGGCCCTATGTGTGATGCCCAGACACACAAACACAGACACACACACACACACACACACACACGCACACACACACACATGCACGCACGCACGCAGGCATGCACACATGCACATGCTTGTGCATGAATGCACATGCATGCGTACTAATTTAGCAAAGATACAGTGATGGAAATAAACGAGATTAGAATGGAGGGAGCTTGATTCAGGACCGGATTTACTTCTTCAAGATGCCCTGTGCACAGTGACAAAGGTCTCGTCTGATACGGTGACAGGCAGAATGCAGCAACTCCTTTTGGATAAACACGAGGCTCCATGTGAGGGTCATTCCTGATTTGTCATTCTAGAGAAATTCTTAAATAAAATTTACAGAGTTTTCTCAGGTTTAATGAGTCAGCCAGACACAAGGTCAAGAGGCACTTTCCTTACTGTGGACAAGAAAGCTTCACTTCACAGTGAGTGGCCTCTGTGTGTGCTAGGCCAAGTCTCCATGCCGTGTCCCTGTGTTCTGTATCCCTGTGTCCTGTGTCCTGTGTTCCTGTGTCCTGTGTCCCTGTGTCCTGTGTCCTGTGTCCCTGTGACCTGTGTCCTGTGTCCTGTGTCCCTGTGTGCTGTGTCCTTGTGTCTTGTGTCCTGTGTCTCTGTGTCCCTGTCCTGTGTCCCTGTGTCCTGTGTTCTGTGTCCTGTGTCCCTGTGTCCCTGTCCTGTGTCCTGTGTGCCTGTGTCCTGTGTCCTGTGTCCCTGTGACCTGTGTCCTGTGTCCTGTGTCCCTGTGTGCTGTGTCCTTGTGTCTTGTGTTCTGTGTCCCTGTGTCCCTGTCCTGTGTCCTGTGTCCCTGTGTCCTGTGTCCCTGTGTCCCTGTGTCTTGTGTCCTGCGTCCTGTGTCTCTGTGTCCTGTGTCCCTGTGTCCCTGTGTCCCTGTGTCTTGTGTCCTGTGTCCCTGTGTCCTGTGTCCCTGTCCTGTGTCCTGTGTCCCTGTGTCCTGTGTCCCTGTGTCCTGTGTCCTTGTGTCCTGTGTCTCTGTGTCCTGTGTCCCTATGTCCTGTGTCCTGTGTCTCTGTGTCCTATGTCCCTGTCCTGTGTCCTGTGTCCTGTGTCCCGTGTCCCTGTTTTTCTGTGTTTCTGTGTCCCTGTGTCCCTGTCCTGTGTCCTGTGTCCCTGTCCTGTGTCCTGTGTCCCTGTGTCTTGTGTCCTGTGTCCTGTGTCCCTGTGTCCCCATGTCCTGTGTCCCAGTCCTGTGTCCTGTGTCCCTGTGTCCTGTGTCCTGTGTCCCTGTGTCCCCGTGTCCTGTGCCCTGTGCCTAAACAAGGTGTGGAATAAAGTAGAATCCAGCTCATTTATAAAGCTGTGGGTAGAAAAGGGCAGTTATTCTGCTGCACGCTAAGATGTAGAACACTGAGAGTCCCTCCTCAGGCCTGCGTGCTCACAACTAGGGTCACATGAAAAAGAAAACAAGAAAAGAGGGGAAGGGAGTGGGAGGAAAGGAAGAGAAGGGAAAGGCAGGGGAGGGATTAGAAATGGATGAATGAATGTGCAGGCTGTGGCTCAGTGGCACGTAGCGTGAATGAGGCCCTGGGTTCAGTCCTCAGCAACAGCCCCCAACCCTGCCCCTACCACAGCCAAAGAAAAGGTCTTGAAAAAATCATCTGGTACAGACAGTACAGTTTAAAACGCAGTGTCTAGACCAGGGATGTAGCTCAGAGCTAGGACACCAGCATCCTGGCTAGTTTTATGTCAACTTGACCTAAGCCAGAGTCCTTTGGAAGAGGGAACCACAACTGGGGAAATGTCTCTGTAAGATTGGCTGGAGACAAGCTTGTGGAGCATTTTAAATTAGTGGCGGATGTGGGAGGGCCCATCCATGTGGGTGGTGCTGTCCCTGGGCTAGCGATCCTGCCTGGGGTGTAAGGAAGCAAACTGAGCAAGCCTTGTAAGTAAGCTACGCTCTTCTGTGGCTCCTGCTTCAGTTCCTGCCTCTGGGTTCCTGCCCCAACTTCCCATGGCGACGGGCTATGAGGGAGGAGTACAAAATGAAATAAATCCTTTGCTCCCCAATTTGTTTTTGGTCATGGTGTTTTTTCACAGCAAGAGAGACCCTCACTAAGATAACTGGCCCAGCTTGTGCAAGGCTCTGGGCCCAATCCCCAGCATTTCAAAACAAAATACATACAATAAATACACTTTGCAAACCCCCAGCTAGACTGCCTAAATTAAAATCTTTCTGAAGCCTGGGAAACATTCCAAGGTGATTCCCAGGTACCCTACTTACTTGACAAGCATGTTCCTTAGGAAGTCATTTCCTAGTGAATGTTTGCTAGATGGTTTTGGGCAAAAGAAAGGAATAATCTAATGATTAGCACCAAGAAGCCATGATAACATGATGCTAACGTTCCCCAGACAAAGGCAAAAACTCTCAAGGACATAGGCATTACAGTCCTAATTATTATCATTATAACTAATGTTTTTACTGTTTTCCACATATACCCTGCCCTGGGTATTTTACATTTTACTGTCCACAATAACTTTTTGAGAAGATATTATTATCTTTTATAAGTTGCTAACTTGCCTCAAGCACGGGCTTGGCAAAGCATGTGTCTCTGGACCAGAGTGCCTCAGTGCTGTGGACAAAGCTGGAAACACATCGGCAAACTCCCCAATCTTTGTTCTCACTCACTCCTTACGGGCATCCCAAAGACTCAGCAGCCTTCACGTTTCTCACAGTGTGACTGTGCTTCTGAGTCTGCATCCTGGTTCCTTTAATTGGATTCCAGAGCTACCCTCAGGACTTTGCCCCGAAGGTGTGTGGCATCTTGGTCTCACTGAGTAACTCTGGGAAATGTTCCAGCTGCCACACTCCAAAACCATTAACACGATGCTTGCTTTTATTCAGAAAATTGATCTTATTAAAACAGCATCCGTGCTACAAGAGGGGCATATCTGGATCTCTGCCAATTACCAAGGCCAAAGCTTACCTTATAGAATGCCTCCAGCCTTCAGAAAAAGCTTCTTGAAAACACAGATAGAAATACACACACACACACACACACACACACACACACACACACACACACACACCCCTTACTTCCCAGGGCCTACTAATATGTAATCAATGACTTCCACCCAGTGGAAGAAAAGGAAGAGAAAATGGGAAGGATAGATTATAGATAGTTGAAGATTTGGTGTGAATGGGATGGAGTTGAGAACTGAGACAGGACAGCTCACACAGCTTTCAGCAAGGAGCTTCCTAGAGTACCACGGAGAAAGAGTAAAGGTAGTTGGGCAGCTGTGAGGAGCCAAGCATGAAGGGAAGGACGGCCACCCTATGCAGGACCATCATTAGAATCAGAACCCTAGAACATGTCTTCCCAGGCAGCTCAGACAGCCTTTTCCCAGGGCTATCTGCACTGCTTTCCCAAGCCCTCAGAATTTCACTGCTGCATAGAAAATGCCACCTGATGACCAGTTCCTGGGCTCAGGTCAGATCTTTGGAGCAACTCTCACTTAGCTCTTCAGAAATGCTTTAGATGTCATATTATGCAGTTAAAAAGAAATGTTGCCATGGTACCCTATTACGTAAGTAATTTTATCCATTTTAGAAAAGCAATGGGTAAAGGTGTTAAACTGAGAGTTATTTCTCAAAATATACATTATGGCTTCATGAGTTCCTGAAGCATTGTGTTGAAACAAAACACAGTGGGCCTCTGTGCAAGCTTGCCTAAAATAAGTGCAGGTGTTGATTAGTAATGTCTGCCACAGGAACTGGATACGGAGGTCTCAGCGTTATCACTGTGAAAGTAGCCAAATGTTTTAGGAGTAAATTTAGGAGACCATAAAATGTTACAAACTTACAAAGAACCTTTGTTATTTGGTGGAGTTGGTGGGATGAATGATTTCAAAGTCTAGTCTTCTTCTTCTTCTTCTTCTTCTTCTTCTTCTTCTTTTTTTTTTTTTTTTTTTTTTTTTTTTTTTTTTTTAGTTTTTTTTGAGACAGGGTTTCTCAATGTAGTTTTGGTACCTGTCCTGGAACTAGCTTTATAAACCAGGCTGGCTCAAACTCACAGAGATCTGCCTGGCTCTGCCTCCGGAGTGCTAGGATTAAAGGCACTCGCCACCACCACCTTCTAAGCTAACTTGGACTAGAGGTTCCCAAGGACCATGGGACAGAGGAGTGACAGACAGAGAATCGAGGGAAGTTTAAGGCCGGACTCAATTGCTTGTACTTTTTAGACAAGTTTTATAATGTGTTTAATAACGTTTTGAAAGGTAAGGGGTTAAAAGTTTTTGATTAGTCAAAGTGATCTTTGGATAAGAGAGAGAATGAGAGAGCAGAAATGATCAAATCTGCCTCAAAAGGTAAACTAAGAACAAGTTACTTGGTAAGAAACTGGAACAGTGGAATTTAGTTTGTTTGCTTGCTTGGTTATTTGTTTTGAGGCAGGGTCTCAAGTATCCCAGGCTAGACTCCACCTCCCTATGTAGCCAAGAGAGACCTTGAACTTCTGATCCAAGGGCTTCATGCATGCTAGGCAAGCACTCTACAGATTGAGCTCCATCCTTAGTTCCTGGAACTCAATCGTGAGCATAACCAGTAAAGGATAAAGGTAAAATCTGAAAGGAGAAGAAGCCTAAGTTGGCGAAACACAATCTAGACTAGAAGGGACTACATCGGTGAGGATGGAGGGTAAACCGAGGCAGAGTGGCAGAGAGAAGGCTGGTGGCTTACCGGCAGCATTCACAATTCTATTTGCTCTCACGGACCCTTGTGGAGTTTCCACATCCCATGTCCCATCTGGCCTGGGCTTCAGAGATGTCACTGGTGCAGGATACTTTAGAAGGGCCCCGTATTTCCTAGCCCCAGCAGCCAGGGCCATTGTCATTGAATAAGGATCAATGTGACCATCTCCTGGATTATACAGTCCAGCTAAAATCTAAACCAAACATAAGAAAGTCAGTATTCAAAGAAATGTATATTTATTCCTCAATGCAAATATATCCTGCTAAACAGATGTTTAATAAGACTAGACTTTAAAAGTGCATCAGTGGCTAGAGGTGTACATAGCTGTGTGGCAGAGGGCTGCCCTGACATGCACAGGCCCCTGGGTTTTGATTCCAGCATGGAGGGAAAACATCTTGAAAGCAGTTGGCATGCCTGTTTTCTAAGTCCTACTTAGACTTGAGCAAGATTCACAGTGAGAGTTGAGTGACTGGTCACAATGACAAGCCACAGGATAACGCCTCGCCGTGGTCTCCAATAGTGGGACACATGCCACTAAGAACAGAGTCTAGTTTCCGATCTTCCGGCAGGTAGTCTCTCCAGCAGTGGCTGAAGCTAACATTAAGTTCTAGTCAATGGAAATGCAAAGGGAAGAGTTACATGGCAGCTTCTGTGAGCCACTCCAAAAAGACAGTTAGTGTATGTCCATCTTTGTTCCTTTCTCCGCCCTGGGGTCTGGAATTCAGATATGGTGCCTGGGCTCTAACTGCCATTGTGGAATAATAACACAAGAGTCACACCCCAGGAATGACAAAGCAGTGATCCAGAAGGTGACTTGATCCTTGAGATCTTGATGACTTTGTAACTACTCAATACATTCTTAGTTAGGGTTCCTATTGCTGTGATGAAACACCATGACCAAAATCAACTTGAGGAGGAAAGGGTTTATTCAGCTTAGGCTTCTAAATAACAGATCACCATCAAAGGAAGTCAGGACAGGAACTCAAGCAGGGCAGGGGCTGATGCAGAGGCCATGGAGGGGTGCTGCTTACTGGTTTGATCCTCATGGTTGCTCAACCTGCTTTCTGATAGAACCCAGGACCACCAGCCCAGGGATGGCACCACCCACCATGGGCTGGGCCCTCCCCATCAATCACTCATTAAGAAAATGTCTTACAAGCTTGCCTAGAGCCTGGTCTTATGGAGTCATTTTCCTCATTGAGGGTCCCTCCTCTCAGGTAACTTTCGTTTGTGTCAAGTTGACATAAAAGTGGCCAGGACAAATGCTTAAATGAAAGGGAAATAGACTTGCTTAAGCATTATTTTTTTAGTTTCTCATGTTTAAAGCCAGATCTAATTCTAGCTGACATATCAGTTATAACGTATTTAATTATTCAATACTGTAAATAAATTTGCGTGTTAATGCATCTCTGATATCAGCTGGGTCTGGTGGTGCTGGTCTGTAATCCTAGCTACTAGGAAGGCTAAGGCAAGAATTCCAAGTTCAATACCTGCCTGGAATAGAGTGAGTTCTGGGGCAGTTTGGGGAGACCTTGTCTCAAAATAAAAAGCAAACAATGGGCTGGGAGGGTAGTTCAGCACTGGAGTGGTAGCCTAGCAAACGAAAGCACCAGGTTTCCATCTCCCCCGTATCCATGTGCACACACATACATGCTTGACAAAAACGCATACTCAGTTCATAAATCAACAATGACTTCGTGCACATCTGCTCTGTGTTAAGGCTTCAGCTTAGGTCTTGTGAGAGAACTAATAAAGGATGGGCAAGGGGGAACGAATTGACAGAGTCGTGCTATAATGAGATCTCGTCTACTGGACAAGAATCTGCCATCAACTATGAAAACAGAGTTTTGACAATTGTTTTTCCTGCATCTGTTTAAACTATGTTGTGCTCTTTGCCCTTTGTTAATGTGATGTTACTACATCACACTGACTGATATTTAGTTTTTAAACCAATTTTGCATTCCTGGGACACACTCCATTTGACCATATTGTAGCATCCTTGGTACAATTTACTGTATTTTTGTTAAAGACTTTCACATCTATATTCATAAAGGACTATAGTCTGTCTTTTCTTCTGATGTTTTTTTTTTTTTGTCTCGTTTTTATGTCAGAGCCATACTAGCTTTATAGGCTGTGTCGAGAAGTATTCAATTCTAATTTTAGAAGACTTTGTGAAGGATTGTTATTAATACCACCTGGCCAAGGCTCGTCTTTGTCTGAGTTTTTTTTTCTTACTATAATTTAGTCTTTGTCCTTATGGGTCCAGTGCAAAAGACTTGGAGTTTTAATGGAATTCACACTCCTGACGACTTGCAAATGTCACACTGGTGTTTTCTAACGACCATGTCCTTGTAGTGATCCCATGTCTGTTTGGTTTGGCACTCTGTCCCTGGTCCATGTGTTTCCATTGCCTAATATCTTTGAGAAAAACCTGTAATGATGAGAGCTTCTGGGGAAGTGTTGCAGGGTTGACATATAAAGAGACATAAATGGATTCTTAGTAGTGTAGTGGAGGTGGATTTCAGTGAAGACCCTGCTCTTACACAACCCCATCGACAAGGAGTTCCCATGGCCTGTAAAGACTCACAAGAGCACAGCACTCTGGCACCCACAACAGTTACATAACACTCAGAGACAGGACTATGACACTGTCACTATCAGGGTAACAGCTGTCTGCTTCCCTAAACAACCTGCTGGCTACCCATATCCAGGATGTCTGCACAGCACGAGTCAGAGGACCCGGGTTCAAATCTTTCCTCTAGTAATTCTGAACTGAACAAACTCATCCCACTGTGTAAACTATTTAAGACTCTGCTTTCTGGGCCATAATAGCCAGATTTTTCATAGGAGGGCCTTACCATGGTCTCTGTTGCATAAATATTACTCTAGTAGATGTTAATGCTGCTATCATTGTGCTAAAAGGATGGTCACCCAGGAGGGAAACACATTACCTTTCCTGTCAAGTGGATTCTCTTAAGGAAATTCAGAGTTGATCTAAATCTGTGCCTGGCGCAGTCTGAAAGGAAAGAACAGCCAGGAGCCAGGAAGTGTATGAGGATGGTACAGGGCTTCCTGGGTTTTAAAAATTCAGTAACTCCTTTCTAGACTCCTCATAACAGGATGTCATTCTCTTTGAAGTCCCCCAACAGACAGCTGGTGTGTGGAAGGACTTCAGTGTGAGGGATCTGGTCCTAGAAAGGCTTTGAAATGTTTCTTTAGTCATCACAGGCAGAAACTAAAAGGGTTTTCATCACCCCTGCGTATATTACTTAGTAACAGCTCACCTTGTGATTTGCCCACATTCCAGGATCAATCACCTCGTGTTGCCTTTCTAAATGTATGCATGGATTATTTTTACTTTTAACTTATTAAACTCATAAATTCACTGAACTCATTAAAATACATTTTAAAAATAATTTTAGCTCAAGTTGACAAAGTGAAATTGCCCTTCAAATAAACATCTTGTTAAAGCAGGGCAGTGGTGGCACACACCTTTAATCCCAGTACTTGGGAGGCAGAGGTAGGCAGACCTCTGAGTTCAAGGACAGCTTGATCCACAAAGAGAGTTCTAGAACAGCCAGGGTTGTTACATAAAGAAAACCTGTCTCAAAAAAACCAAAACCAGACAAACAAACAAATAAAATACCTTGTTCATGTTGAGTAAAGGGAACATCTCTTGGATTTTTTCAGGCTCAATAATATACTGTTCTGTGGCATGCCAGTTGGTCCGTGTCATTTGATATTTAAATTCATCTACCCTTACAGGTGTCGTAGCAAGTCTGATACTACCTGGTTGATGGAATCCCACCACCTGTGACAATAATTCCAATAAAAGCATGTCAATAAACTATCCTCTGGCACTCCAACACAGTTTTCCAACACAACAAAAACTCAAGTGAGTAAAAGAGAAATTCACTATGTGGCAAACATATTAATTACATAGGATATTTGTAGCTTATGAAGAGATATTCATTCAGCAGTAATTTACACCAGGCAGTACTGTAAGCCTGAGGTGCTGGGTGAACAAGAGAGGCAGAGCCCCTGATTGATGGAACTCTCCATCCACGGGTAAAGGCAGGGCAGTTAAGAGCGTACAGATGCATGGACCGAGGGTTCAAATGCAGAGTGAGGGAGCAGTCCATGAAAAGGAGAAAGCCAGAGGGTTTAAGGAGGGACTCTAGAGAACCGACATGCCGCTACAGTGAGAGTGATTGTAAGTTCACGCTCATTTGGCATTTCATAGTCTTTCCATTTGAAAAGCCTCGGTGAAGCCCGGGGTCACAGAACAAGAGGGCAGTCCTGGTCTTCAAGTTGCTCACACTCTGCAGGGAAGATCAACAATAAAGTAACGATGACAGTGGGACCGTGTGTTAGAAGAGTGTGCACACACGCTGTGTGTAAGAAGAGTGTGCCTACAAGCTGTGTGTAAGAAGAGTGTGCACATCATGCTGTATGTAAGAAGTGTGCACACAAGCTATGTGTTAGAACAGTGTGCACACACACTGTGTGTTAGAACAGTGTGCACACATGCTGTGTTAGAACAGTGTGCACACATGCTGTGTTAGAACAGTGTACACACACTGTGTGTTAGAAGAGTGTGCACACACGCTGTGTGTTAGAAGAGTGTGCACACACGCTGTGTTAGAACAGTGTGCACACACGCTGTGTGTTAGAACAGTGTGCACACACGCTGTGTGTTAGAACAGTGTGCACACACGCTGTGTTAGAACAGTGTGCACACACGCTGTGTGTTAGAAGAGTGTGCACACACGCTGTGTGTTAGAAGAGTGTGCACACACGCTGTGTGTTAGAACAGTGTGCACACACGCTGTGTGTTAGAAGAGTGTGCACACACGCTGTGTGTTAGAACAGTGTGCACACACGCTGTGTGTTAGAACAGTGTGCACACACGCTGTGTGTTAGAACAGTGTGCACACACGCTGTGTGTTAGAACAGTGTGCACACACGCTGTGTCTTAGAAGCGTGAGGGGTTGCTTGTCCATGTAGGGTGAGGGCAAAGTGATTCCAGTCAGAACAGGAAAAAAGGAAGCAACACAAATTTAGAAAGCAGAGGTGTGACAGCACCTAGAACATTCCAGAAGTATACGCTGTTGAGAACAATTAAAGCTCAGGAGCAAAGGAAACAGAGACAAGAGAGGATGTTAGAAACTCAGGCGACGAGGGCTGGAAGTCCCAGACCCTGCTAAGCCTTTGGTCTGGCCATCAGCAAGAATAAATGCATGAAAACATGAAGAAGCCTTTGATCTGAGCCCATGGAAGCTTTTTAGTTTGTGAGTTCAGTCAATATGAGAAGGGATGAAAATAAAGACAGGGAGGAGGCTTAGTGCGCTGTTTCTAAAGTCACGTGACAGTCGGCTCAGTCAGACCCTGTGCGATCCCCTTGCTGAAGTGTTCTGACTCTGTATTTTCTAGATATGGGAACCGGCTAAACAAAGTTTGAAAAGTCGCTATTTATTATCTCTTCCTTTTCAAACAAATGAAGACTAGTTAATTACATGGGTAATACGCTTGAAGAAAATGAAGCGATGTGAACATCGAGCCCGGCTCTTCCCTGGACCTTCCTCTCTACCACAGCAAGCACTGCACATGCGCCTGTATCTAAGTGGCCGAGCGCACAGACCCCTTCAAACTAAGTGCGTTTACCTGTCCGGTTTCTTCTTCCAGCTTCTCGTAAAGTTTGATGCTGTCATAGTGTATCTTCTTCAAGTTTATCCCGGGGTGAAAGTAAGTTGTTAAGCCTGCCTTAAACAGAGAGAGGGAAGAAAAGGCTGGACTAAGTCAGCGTTTGCACAATGTTGATAACTTCTCTGCTAAGCAGTGGCGTGATGCTGCTGAGACATGAAGGCGTATAGCGGGGATGCAAGAAAGAACACACGGGTTGGAGACCCCAGAGCAGATGGCTCATCACAGGGTATATGAAGCAACTTCAACCACTCAAGTCGACTGAGAGCCAGCCCACAGACGTGTCCACGAAGAGCCTAAAAACCACCAGGGAAAGGGTAGGTGGGAGGTTTAGAACATATGCTGCTGTTGACTGTCTTTTTATCTGAAATGCATGGGACCAGAAGTGTTTTGGCTTTGAGTTTGGGGCCCATCAAGATGGCTCAATGGGTCAAGGTACCTGCCAGCAAACCTGAGGAGCTCCATTGGCAGGATCCCCAGAGACCACTGGGTAATAAGGGAGGACCAACTCCTGCACATTGTCCTCAAATATTCATGGCACATGTGAGTGAACAAGTGCACACACACACACACACACACACACACACACACACAAGTAAATTAATTAGTTCCTGGGCAGTGGTGGCACACACCTTTCATCCCTGTGCTTGGGAGGCACAGGCAGGTAGATCTCTGAGTTCAAGGTCAGTCTGATCTATGGAGGGAGTTCTAGGAAGGCCAGGGCTACACAGAGAAATCCTGTCTGGAAAAACTAAAACCAGTAATTAATTAAATGAAATTAAAAACAAAAATATAGATTTTGAATTTTTAAATTTTGGATATTTGCATATATACAATAATGCCTTGTTATGAGAGCCCAGGTCTATATAAAAAGAAATCTATTTGTTTCCTAGACACTTTATATACACATTATATTATACAGTATTCCAAATAACTCTAAATAGGCAGCTCCTATACATACTCTTGTTGAGTAAGTACTGATTAATTATTCTTTGGAAAAGATTGATTAATATTAGAAATGTTGTAGCCCCTTCCATCAACTCTGAGAGATGCAATGTAGCATCCAGACCAAGAATTCTAGGCAATTACACAAAGCAAGAGTTTTCTTAATTAAGTATCTGGGGTCTCATTTTTCAGCTAATGTATCTTGGGGAGCTCATCAGAACACATCTGTTCAAACTCAACTCCATTTAGGAATATTTATAACTTTCTCCTATGGGAATTTGGTTCTCTGAAACGAAAACTATTCCCATTAAAGTTGGTCAACCACCGTTTAATGCTCAACCACGCTCAATGCTTCTATCTAAACTTGTCGAAGCATCTAACATACACACAAGTGATGCTTCTGACAAGAATTCCATCCCAGTTCCTGGCTCTGGTAAGAGTAGAGAAACATTTCACTACAAAAGGACTGCTGCCAGGGTCTCGGAAACATGGCCAAACCACTCTTTTCCTTTCACATGTTTGATATTCGGTGGTGCATGATATTTTGCTCGTGTTCTGACAAATAAAGCTTGCCTGGAGAGCAGAGGGTGGAGCTAGCCACTAGTAAACCATAGAGGCCAGGGGGTGGTGGTACATGCCTTTAACCCCAGCACTTGGAAGGCTCATGCCTTTGATCTCAGCACTTGGAAGGTTCACGCCTTTAATTCCAGCACAATCGGGAGGTGGAAACAGGAATATAAGGCAGGTGGAGACAGGATCTTGGCCCTCTTTTCCATCTGAGGATTCGTAGAGGTAAGAAGTCTCTAGTGGCTGCTGCTCTGCTGATCTTTCAGGCTACTACCCCATTATTTGACTCTTGGTTTTTATTGATAAGACTAATTAAGATTATGCTTCAATTCAGTGTGTGTATGGACTTTCCTCATTCAATCAGGGAGCCATCTCTAGCCTTCAGGTATCTGCCACTGACCATAATTCTGTCTTCAATGCATCTTCTACCCATCAATTGAGAAAATGAATGCTCATGAGTACTGGTTAAAGTTCTGATCCTGGAGATCCTGTAAGCCACAGCAGAGAGAGAGAGAGACAGACAGACAGACAGAGAGACAGAGACAGAGACAGAGAGAGAGAGAGAGAGAGAGAGAGAGAGAGAGAGAGAGAGAGAGAGAAAGAGAGAGACTGGGCCTGACTTGAGCTTTTGAAACCCAAAGCTCACCCCTAGTGACACACTTCCTCCAACAAGGCCACACCCTCTAATCCCTGTCAAGTAGCACCACTCCTTAACAACCAAGCATTCAAATATATGAACTTGAATAGGGGGCAATTCCTATTCAAACCACCATACCAGGTCACTAGAAAGTTCCATTATCTACATCCATCTATACTGTATCCTCTGTTACCCTACCCCAGAAACTAGGGGCTAATAAATTTTCATTTGAAAGAACCACATGGATTCATTAAAGACATTTAGCCCTGTGTACTTTGTTTAGGGAACAAATTCTTTTGGAAATGCTTAGTCAAGAAAAAGTTAAATCCCTTACTGAAAGAGAATATCCATCTAGGAACAGTCCATGCATCTCTCTATTTGCTGGGACAGTCAGGAGTAAGTGAGTGGGCTTTTCTTAGCCGTAATAACTAGTTAGCAGTCTTTTATGTTGGCTTTTGTTTTTTCATTTGTGTTGAAAATCTAGAGCTATCCCTACCATGCTTCTACTGTGTTCAGATCATTTGAATATTCTTTTTTTTTTTTTTTTTTTTTTTGGTTTTTCGAGACAGGGTTTCTCTGTGTAGCTTTGTGCCTTTCCTGGAACTCACTTGGTAGCCCAGGCTGCATTTGAATATTCTTGCATACTGTCTACTGTTAATTAAACACCTGCTTTGTGACATTTGGACATGTGGAGTACACAGTGTTTTTCTCTTCTGTGACTTCAACATGGATATAGTAAATGAAAAGCTTGAAAAAGAAGAAAAATACTGGTCTTAGCCTCCAGGCACATGGTTAAATGCCAAGTCACAGAGCAGGGGACATTAAGAAGTAAAGGGGCTGAAGAGATGGCTCATTAGTTAAGACTCCCAGACATGGTTAAGACCAGAGAAGTCTTCACAGCAAGAGATCCTTGAACTCCAATGACTTGAAGAAAAAAAAACAAACAATAGCAGTTGGTCGAGAAGGTAAAGGAAAAGGCGGAGACAGAATCCTTCCTTCGGAAGCACAGCCCTTTGAAGCAGGGCGTGGCACAGGCTGCCATCCCAGTACTAGGGAAGTAGAAGCAGGAGGATCAGGAGTTCAAGGTCATCCTTGGCTACATAGTGAGTTCAAGGGCAGCCTGGGCTACATGAGATTGACCCTGTCTCAAATACACACACACACACACACACACACACACACACACACACACACACACACACACACACAATCTTTGAGTAAGTTTAGAATTTGCAAATTCTTGTTGACATAAATTTAAACTAACAAGAAAGGAATGCTCTTCCCTAGAGTGCCATGACAATTACCAAGTAAGAGAATCATGAAAGGGTGCTACGTAGTGGGGACTGTGTTGGAGGCTAACTCGTGGTGTTTTCCTGTCTTTCCGGGACTTCTGCTGCCTCAGAAACTCAGCCATTGGCCTAAACCATAATCCCAGTGGCCCAAATCTTTTATTCATACACTTATGCTCAGAATGTTTGCACATAACCACTAAAAATATTCTTATGCCTTTATTTACACAAAACATGTAAATATAGGTTACTGTATTAATAGAGATCGTAAAGCACACTAAATGAGCTTGGGGTGAGTGGAGTATTTTAAATAAATTTCATCTTACTTATTGTGCCAGAAATGTTTTGGATATTAAGCTCATGAATCACGTTTTTGATAGAGTGTTGTGATTAACGTACTTCATTATTAAGCTCTGTACACACTGGATTAACCTTTGAAAATACAGCCTGATTCTGGGCTTTCTTTACATCCAGAATGGTTTATTTGTTTGCTTGTTTTAATTCCTTTTTGTTTTAAGCAGTCAGCCTGGGTAGCCCAGGCTGGCATTAGACTTTCAATCTCCCTGTGCATTAGTTTCTTGCTGGGAGCAAATACCAAACCGGAAGCCACTTGAGGAAGAAAAGGTTTATTTTGCCTTCCAATTTGAGGATTACAGTCCATCGTGGTGTGGAAGGCACAGAAGTGGGGTGAAGGCAGCAGCTGCATCTGCCCTCAGGAAGCAGCTCTCGAGGGGTGAATGCTGGGTCTGAGCGCTCCTTCTCCTTTCCATTCAGCTGGGGACCCTGGCCTGTGGCATGATGCACCCCACAGTCAGGTGGGTGTTCCCACCTCGATTAACACAATCTAGCAACGCCCTCACAGATGTGCCCAGATGTTTGTCTTCTAGGTGATTCTCGAGTCTGTCAACTTGACACATAGGATTAGCATTCTTCCTAGGCCTCCTGTGCTTGAGACTGATTTCAGGGGCTAAGACAGCAGCAGATGCCTCTCAGTCCTGCGTGGACCCAAGTGGAAGCGGTGTTCTCTGTGTGTTAAATCTCCTCTTCCATTTCAAGCACCTGTTACTGCACCGAACTATACAAACGTTTCTGGTGACCGATGACTATCATGTTCTTGTCTCTCCATTCTTGCTACAACCTGGAAAGTATCATGCTCTTTGTATTTTAAATACATGGGAACAAATCCTACTGGAATTCCTTATCAGAAAAAATTTTTCAACAGGTTAAAAATTTTATCTCTCACAAAGGAGAGACACCTCCCCCCGCAACCAGGAGATATCATTTAGTCTAGAAAATCTAACCATAATATTCACATTTCTTTTTTTTTCCTTGGTTTTTCAAGACAGGGTTTCTCTGTGTAGTTTTGGTGCCTGTCCTGGATCTCGCTCTGTAGACCAGGCTGGCCTTGAACTCACAGAGATCCGCCTGGCTCTACCTCCCGAGTGCTGGGATTAAAGGCATGTGTCACCACTGCCCGGCAATATTCACATTTCTGACTAACTCTTAGCATACTCTCTTCCCAACAGGGCTGCTTTGCAAGCTAGCTACCACCCTCTGTAAAGCATCACACTTGTACACCTATTTTTTCTAGTGCTGGGATCAAGACTGGAGCTTTGCGCTTACTCCTAGGCAGGCACTCTACCATTAATCCACACCCCCAGACACAGCTTTTAAAACCTATATAACTGCTTTGTAGAAACCACCCATGTCCACTGAATTCCTGAAGATCAACACATTTGGAACATTTGCCTATTTGTACAAGAAATACATGTTTAAAATCCACTACCCTTTCCATCATTGCCAGGTAATAAATCTTTCCGTAGTGTGACGCTCTGGACCACAAACAACTCCCCTTCCTCTCCTCACAAACTATACTACTTATACAAGTCTCAGTAAAGCTAGTCACAGTGATGGCCTCACATAGCAATCAAAGAAAGAGCCAAGATGAGCCCATCATGCAGAGCCAACCTGCCCCCAGAGAATCTTGGGATCTTAAGCAATATGTCATGCTGGGCGGCGGTGGCACACGTCTTTAATCCCAGCACTCGGGAGGCTGAGCCAGGCAGATCTTTGTGAGTTCGAGGTCACCTTGGTCTACAGAGTGAAATCCAGGACAGGCACCAAAACTACGCAGAAAAACCCTGTCTTGAAAGACCAAGAAAAGAAAAAGAAAAAAGAAAAAAAGCAATATGTCAATCACATCAGATGCTACTTGTGTTAGTAAAGTTTAAGTTCTTTCTTATGTTTGTAAATAAGTGGAAAGTTCTAGATTATCTTCCATCTTAGGTCTTCCATCCTGGGATCTCTTAAAGATTGTGCTGTGATATCATTCTTGGGGAAGTGGAGGACCCTACTCTCCAAAACCACCTCTGATGCCATTTCTTGTGTACTGATGAAAGTGAGCAAGACCTCGGGATCTGCAGACTTGACTTGACTTTGAACATTCGGTCTCAGGCTGTGCCGACCTCCAGCCCTCACTTCCTGTTCCTTGTGGACACATACATCACAGAAGACATATGGAACTCCAGGGATGCTGTCTTCATTCTCAGTCTGTCCATTTTGCTGGTGCTCCAACTGTGCACACTCCCAAACTGTTCCCAGATATGTCTGGGCTGAAAATTCTTGGTGTGTGGAACTTCCTGATGTCATTCCTTACAGAGAAGGCTCATAGACTTGTAAAAGCTCCCAGAACCAGTTCCTAGGACAGGTCCTGCCCTGTCCCTTATTCCAAGGGGCACAAATCACCCAGCTGCTGCGGTCTGACTCCACCCCGAGTACACAATCGTTCCCCATTTGGTTCTGCTCACTGCCTTGTCTACAGGGGGCGGGGCCGGGGCGGGGGGTACTTTCCCCACTATTTTGCTGTCTCTTAGGGAAAAAAAAAATCTTTCACACAGTTAACTTCACATAAGGGACTATCATCTTCAAATCTTTGCCTGCTTGTCTTAAAGAGTTCAGGCTAAAGTGTGGACCTTGTATTTAGTGGGAGAGCTGGTGAAATCTCAGGGAATCCTGTAATCAGCTCTGAAATGCAAGCCATACCAAATCCCTGTCAGGGAACAAATAAGCCATTCCACTTTGATGTGTATCTGCCTGCTGCCACTTAGCAGTCAGGAAGTGTGAGGCGGTATAAGTACCATTTGCCTCAATTTGCCACTGTCTAAAGATTCTTGCCTGGTTGACCTCTAAGCCCCCCTGTACCTTGTTTCCTGCTCTGTTTGGTGTCCGTTTCTGTAGCTGTCTGCCTAGCTGCTCCTTCAGCATTCTGGACTCCTTAGTTTCTCTTTTCTTTTCTTTCTTTCTTTCTTTTTTTTTTTTTTTTAAGAGCTGAGGATCAAACCCAGTGCCTTGCGCTTGCTAGGGCTAAATCCCCAACCCATTTCTTTTCTTTTTTTCTTTCTTTCTTTTTTTTTTTTTTGGTTTTTTGAGACACGGTTTCTCTATGTAGCTTTGGTGCCTGTCCTGGATCTCACTCTGTAGACCAGGCTGGCCTCGAACTCACAGAGATCCGCCTGCCTCTGCCTCCCGAGTGCTGGGATTACAGGCGTGTGCCACCACCGCCCGGTGCAGTTTCTCTTTTCTTTAAGGCTCAGGTCCCTCTCTGAGTGTTCTCTGTGCCCGAGACTGGCTCCAGGAGGAAAGGACTGCTCTGTGCCCTTGTGTCCTCATTTCTGGGACCAACCGTGGTGCCCTAACATAATCCTTCTGTCTTGAGTGATGACAAAATGTATACTGTGCTGGCTAGTTGTCTATCAGCTGGACACAGGATATAGAGGAGGGAACATCGATTGAGAAAATATCTCCACAAGATGGAGTGTGGGTAAGCCTGTAGGGCAATTTCTTAGTTGGTGATTGACAGGAGAGGGCCCAGCCCAATGTGCATGGTGCCATCCTTGGCCTTGGGTTCTATAAGAAAGCAGGCTGAGCAAGCCATGAAGAGCAAGCCAATAAGCAGCACCCCTCCATGACATCTGCAGCAGGTCCTGCCTCCAGGTTCCTGCTCTGCTTGAGTTCCTGCCCAACTGCATTTGATGATGAACTGTCAAATGAAACCGTGAGTGAAATAAACTCTCTCCTCCCCAAGTTGCTTTTGGTCATGGTGTCTCATCACAGCAATAGTGACCCTAAGGCTCACACTAAGGAAAAATTAGAGGCGGTAGACTTGCATTTAGAGGGACAACATGAGGTCTACACAGAAAATCTAGTTTAGGGATGTGAGATAAGCCTAGAGTGCCAGAGCTTCTGCAGGCGTGAGGACAGCAGTGAGGAACCAATGAAAGGAGACCCCTGTGCTGGGGAGACTGCTATGGGAAAGTGATGGGATGCCCATCCCCCTACACACACACTGAGGATGAGGGGTCGGAGGAAGAGGAGCTAGACTTGATGCTGTTTTTCTGGGAGCACTGGCTGACCAGTGGGATTAGAGACTGCAGCCACCTGAGCTTGAATCTGGGGGGCACTGTTCACCAGCATTCAGCTTTGACAACCATTCTTATCTAGACACCTGGCCCGTGCGTCGAGTGTGTGCTGAGCATGAAGAGGCCTTAAGAGAGAGTTCCTCTTTCCTCTCCTCATCACAGGAAAGCTGATTACGGAAAAAGATGGCCAATGAGACCAAGATCTTCCTCCAAATATGGATGGATAGAAATAAAGACAGCAAGAAAGAAAGAAAGAAAGAAAGAAAGAAAGAAAGAAAGAGAGAGAGAGAGGGAGGGAGGGAGGGAGAAAGGAAGGAAGGGAGGAAGGAAGGAAGGGAGGAAGGAAGGAAGGAAGGAAGGAAGAAAAGTAGGTGGATGGATAGATAGATAGATAGATAGATAGATAGATAGATAGATAGATAGCACATTGACAATCATATCTTAGAATCTTCCTTTCCTATCCCTCGCGGACTCAGGAGTAGCCTCCTGGTAATATGAGAACCATGCCAATCCAGGGCCTTTACCTAGGCCATTCTCCAGTGCAGCCCAGGCATCCTGCTTCACTAGAACAATGACTCGTGCTGACTACAGGGTGAGACTCTGTCACAAAAATACGAAACAAAACCAACTCAGAAAATGGAAACTGAAGGAACTTTCTGGAAGTTACCAGGGGGAAAAATGGCAAAGCCAGGATCAGAATCCAGAATCCACATGTTCAACATAAAGCGTATCTAAATAACCATTTCCCACTTCCTGGAAGCACACCAGTCAGGTGACAACACCCTTTCTGGCGAGGTGAGCGGGTCCAGTACTCTGAAGAGCTCTCTGTAGGAGCTGTGACTGGGAGGAACTGGTGTACAGTTTGGGGCATACAGAGTACACTTTTGGGGTGTTTCCTTACTGCGTGCCAGGTAGAGCCAGCTGTGAGCTCCGATTTCTCCAGCAGGACCACGTCTTTCATGCCGGCCTTGGCCAGATGATAAGCCAGACTCACGCCCACACAGCCGCCTCCAATGATCACCGTCTCTGCCGTGTCCTTCCATTCTGGGGGGGAGGGTGGGACTTCCTGTCTGGAAGACAGCGTTTTTAACGGTGGTGACTCACTTGCACATAGCAGGTCCAGTTTGCTATGTGTTTCCCTTGCTTGCCTGTCTCTAGCACTTCACACCTACAGGCTGCAACTCGCCCTTAGAAACCTGGGGCATCTGAAGCCCGACTAGGCAACCTGTACTGAACGTGGCTCAGGAAATGAGCAGTGGCCGGGGGCAGTGGCTGCTCCTTTTTCAATCTAGACATCATTTTTTTCCCACTTAAAAAACACATTCTGGCAGGGTGGCATGTGCCTTTAATCCCGACACTGGGGAGGCAGAGGCAGGTGGGTCTTTGTGAGTTTGAGGCCAGCCTGGTCTACAGAGTGAGTTCCAGGGCAGCCAGGACTACACAGAGAAACCCTGTCTCAACAAACAAACAAACAAACAAACAAAAACCCACCCACATTCTGGGGCTGGAGTTCAGCTGGTAAAGTGCTTGCTGTTCAAGCATGAGAGCCCAAGTTCAATCCTCAGGATCCACACAAACGGGGTTGGGCATGTGGCCCCCACCTGAAATCTCAGCTCTGGTGACGCAAAGACAAGAGGATCCCTGGGTCTTGCTGGCCAGCCTTCCTGGCCTAATCAGTGAGAGACTCTGTCTCAAAAAAAAAAAACAAAACAATTTGGGCCTGGAGAGATGGCTCAGAGGTTAAGAGCACTGGCTGTTCTTCCAGAGGTCCTGAGTTCAATTCCCAGCAACCACATGGTGGCTCTCAACCATCTGCAATGAGATATGGTGCCCTCTTCTGGCCTGCAGGCTGAACATTGACTGTATACATGATAAATAAAAATCTTAAAAAAAAAAAAAGAACAGTTTGGAGAGCAGCTGAAGAAGGCACCCCACCTCTGGGCTGCACATGCCCACACCCCACACACGCCTATCGATTTTAGTCTTAGAAATCCCCAGTCTTCACCCTCTTCTCTCTAGGGCTCCCCAAGCTGAAGGGAGATGGATGGAGAAGTATCCTCCTCTTCTGGCTTCTCTAAGGCATCGGTTTGCAGAATGGTCTTCCTGGCTGCCCTGTGAGCTTTTTGAAGGCAGGCAGGGACAATATCATATTCGTCACTGGTCTCAGCCCCCTCCCAGTGCCCACACCCCATAGGTATGCCCAGTGAACACATCTGATCATTTTCATGACCTATTCCCAGCCCTCTCCTGGCACGCCTTCCCTACACAGGTCCCCAAAGGGTGGCGTTCTGGCATTGGCCTTGCTGTTAAGGTAGAGGGGCTTGTTGGTCATTGCCTCATTTCCTTCAGTGAATTTCCTCTTTTATTTATGACGTGCTTCCTGCCTTCCTAGGGCTGGACACACAGGACCTCGGAGCTCCGAAGCTCACAGCAGAGCCAGGAGATGAAGCAAGTGAACTAGAAATGTGGACCTCACAGCAACGAAGCACTCTTTGAGGGGAGGTGCGGGATGCAGCAGCATCCATCAACAGGAAGGCATGATGGGGCTGGATGAGGAAGGATAAAGGGGCGGGGCATGAAGGCTCCCAGGCCGCAGGGGCAGCTGGGGGCAGTCAGCACAGGGAAGGGCTGGGCTCTGAAAGGCCACTGAGGCTGGGGCCTCAAGGGTGCATCTGGCTCCCCTAACACAAGGAACACTCAGTCAGTCCTGTGAAGCATGACCAAAGAATGTGATGTGTTAATTCCTTAATCCTTTCCTGGTCACCAGTCTCTTTATTCCATTAGCGTCTAACATAGAAAGTCACGATACGAATTAATAAGAATTCTGGGAAGATTCACCATGGCATATTTGGTGACACCAAACCAAAAGTTGTCATTTTAAGGATAAGGTTTTGTTGTTTTGTTTTGTTTCAAGCAGGGTTTCTCTGTGTAGCCCCCAGCTGTCCTGGAACTCACTCTGTAGACCAAGCTAACCTTGACCTCAGAGACTGCCTGCCTGCCTCTGCCTCCTGAGTACTGGAAAGAAAAGCATGCGCCACCACTGCCAGCTTAAGGATAAGTTTCAAAGTGAGAAAAAAGCAGTCTGGAACCTTCCCTCGGACCGACATGATAGTAACTGCTGTGCTTGTCTAATCACACCCTTATTCGGGAAAAGACAATATGTTTATCTGATGAAGATTAAATTGTTGAGCATATTGTTATCTGAATTCTAATCTGCCTTCAGAGTTTGTCAGACAAAACTCACATTTTCCACACAGGTTTAATGACATGGAATGTGACTTTGTATTCAGACACACAATTTCAGACTGACAGAAAAGTTGTAAAGCTTGTAGAAGGAATTCATGGAACTCTCATTTGTGGTTGTTGTTTCGGGTTGGTTTTTGAGACAAGGTCTCACTTCCATAGCCTACGATGGCTTTGAAGTTGACATCCTGCCTCAGCCTCCCGAGTGCTGGGACTTCAGGCTTTTACCAACACTGCCAGTCTGCTTTACAGTTCTTAGAAGAGAAATGTCATCTGTGATGACTCAACCTTGCAGAATAGATGCATATGCCATATGAATATAAACACTTCTGCACACATAATAGTGAATAAAGCCTTTAATGTTACACTGTATTTGTCTAATCAGTTTTAAACAACTTAACCCAAGCTCAACAACTTTTATCTCCTTCTGTCTTTGGTGCAGTTTCCCAATTGTGATGCTTTTGCAGCTCATGAATCTCTCTTGTGTGTTCCTTCACTTGGGGTTTGCAGCGCCCCTGTAAGCCAGGCAGAGCAGAATTAGCATCCTGTCTTTGAGCTCAGCCAGCAGCTGCTGTGTCTTCCAGAACTACCATTCTGTGGGCCTTGTTTTCCCAGAACCAGGAACAAGCCTGCACACCACAGGCGTCATGTAAAAAATCTGCCAATAAAGGATGGCTGGATGCGACTCAAAAGCAGCCCTTGCATACCATAGGATGTAAAATACAAGCGGAGTCAGCTCCTAATAATGTTTGTTGAGTGACTCCGTGAGTAGAAACCTCACCTTGCCACTGTGGGTGACGTCAGGAATGACGTCAGGACAGGAGAGTCAAAGATGCTGTCCTGCTTTAGTACATACAGACAGATACTACAGGAAAACGCCATCTCACTTCTGCAGTTTCACAACCTTACTCTGGGAGCCAAGGAAGACATGGGAAATAAGCACCCACCCGAGGAGCATCCGGTTCTTACCCGAATCTCGCTGTCTTTGGGCAAGTTTGCTGCTGTCTTTTGAACTTTCAAAGGACCTAACCCTTTCCCTAACTTTTGAGTCCCAGGAAAGGCGCAAAGCTACACAGAGAAACCCTGTCTCGAAAAACGGAAAAAAAAAAAAAAAAAAAAAAAAAAAGAGCCGGGCGGTGGTGGCGCACGCCTTTAATCCCAGCACTCGGGAGGCAGAGCCAGGCGGATCTCTGTGAGTTCGAGGCCAGCCTGGTCTCCAAAGTGAGTTCCAGGAAAGGCGCAAAGCTACACAGAGAAACCCTGTCTTGAAAAACCAAAAAAAAAAAAAAAAAAAAAAAAAAAAAGATTTAAAAAACAAAACAAAACAGACTGTCATATTTGCCAAAACACACGTGCATTAAAAATGTCAGGTTCACGTTCTCTGCGCTGCCAACCAACCCAAAGCAGTCTAATTGTTCATGAGTAGGCTGCTTAATTATATGATAGAATATTGATCCAATGAAAAACTATGCAGCCATTAAAAAGAATAAGGCAAATCAATACGCCCTGGAATAGAATAAGCTCGACGACGTATTCATCATTGAAAACACAACAGTGATGATAACAACCACCATCGGGGTGCGAGTGAATCGCAGACAGCAGCATCCAGCTGTTTGCGCACAGGAGACAGGCTCTTGCAGACATCCTCACACCTGCCCACTGCTGACCCGGCAGGGGTTGGGGTCAGAGAGACTGATAGTTTTCCCTGGTAGTAAGTAGTAAGGAATCCCAGGAGGATCCCAGCCTGTTCCTGGGAGGCCCCTCTTCCCCACCTGCAGGCGGCGGGCACTCACCCTTCCCGGCGGCCGGTGGAGCTTGGGCGCCCGGGGGAGCCCCGCAGCACGAGACCCCGCAGCCGCAGCGCGCCCGGGCGGAGCATGGTGGAGGGGAGGCCGAGCATGAGCACGGATGCACGAGCACCGACGGCGGCCTAAGGCAGGAGGGCGGGAGGAGAGGGGCAGGACGAGGAGGGCGGGAGAGGTCCTCCCACCCAGGGGCGGGCTCCAGCACCGCAGCGCCTCCGGGACCCGTGCCACCGGGACCCGCGCCTGCACAGTCGTGGAGACATGGCACCAGCCGGAGGCCCGCGGGCCAAGAAGGTGAGTGTCGCCCAGGCCTTCTTCCTTTCCTGGGGACTTCGAATCCCGCTTCAGCCAAACCCCTACCGCACCGGAGCTGGGCGGCCCAGAGCCTCAGTTTACCGGATCGAGAGTGGATTAGCATTCATGGAGCCCTTACTCAGCCCAGAGTATCTGCATTTCCTGGTATCCCCAGTATGGGCAGCGGCGCGGGGGGAGGGACTGAGGCCCCAAAGTCAGGAGATTGTGCCCAGAGTGATCGCATTCAGGGCAGAGGAGGGACCTGAGGTCAAGTTTTTGGACTCAGGGGACTCTCATTGTTCTTGCTCAAGGGAGCGCACGCAATAGCTCCTGAGGTTTACACACGGGTGTTCCTATCAGTTTCCCTTATGTTTTGTAAGCGCATCAACCAGTGCTGTGTGAAGCAAGGACAGCTTGCAGGTCACAGGGGTGGGTGTGGGAGTCCCCTCTGTTGCCTTCAGAAGGCAGTCCCATAGCCTGCCCTTCTCCCATGGCGACCAGATACCGGCTTCATTCCCACAGCCTTGAGGACTTGTTGTGGAAGTGAGGGATCCCAACCAACCAGAAAGGCATTAACTTGGAGGAGGGGCCTTCCAGGACCCACCTACCCCCAACAGCCCGCCTAGACGGAATTCAAAGTCTTGGGGGCAGTAGACATAGGAAATGCTAAGAAACTGGGAACAGAGGTGACCTGTGCTAGGTTCACAGTCCAGGTTCAATCACTTGCTAAGCTGTTAGTCAGACATTAACAGCTGTGTCCCACTAGCCGTGGGGCAAATGGCCTCCTCCGAGGATCAACAGTCTCATCCTGAGCCCCGAGGGTAAATCCAGAGGTTTCAGGGTTGATGTCTTCAAAAAAGGAATGCAAAGGAACCCCAGGCCCTCACCATCAGATCAGCAGGTGCACTGCCACTAATGAGCGTGAAAGAGAAGGCAGGACTGCTGTAGGTGAATTCACGTCCTCTGCGGTTGACTCTCCCGGTCCTTTTCACCTAAGCTGGCACTAGAATTAAATGAGGTGGCCGAGACAACAAGGAGGGATGGGCTACAGGCTGCTCCGGGTTCAAATTTCCATAAACTAGTCATTTTAGAATGACGGTGAAGAAAAATAGAGAATTTAAAATGTTGGGCAGGGACTCGGGAGGTGGTTCAGAAGTCAAAGGCCCTTGCTGCTCTTCCAGAGGACCTGAACTCACTTCCAGCACCATGTATAGTTAGACCCAGAAAGTGTCAATTGAGAAAAAAAAAAGTACCTATCCATAGCTCCTTAACTGCACAAAATAGGTATTTAGATTGGCCAGGAATCATGCTGCAATGTCTTCTGAAACACTCTTAGACATAATTTTAGCAGAATTGCTGCCTGAAGAACACAAGACCAACATTCCTACAATTGGAAATGGCTTTAAAAGGCAAAGCGGGTGTGTAGAGAGTCTGGTGTCTCTGGTCTGTTCCCCAGGGCATTTTGGACCGTCTGGACAGCGGGGAGCTTGTGGTTGGGGACGGCGGCTTTCTCTTCGCTCTGGAGAAGAGAGGGTTCGTGAAGGCAGGGCTGTGGACTCCAGAAGCAGTGGTGGAGCATCCAAGTGCAGGTGAGTGCCCACGTCACCCAGAAGTCTGTATGCAGGTGACAGCTTCAACACCGGCAGAGACAATCAAGGAATAACAGCAAGCATTTCCTAAGGACTGTTTCCCTTGCAAAATTACCAAGAGGTGGAGGCCATGGCAGTGTGTGGACTGAAGCACAGAGATAATTATCTTTCTGTCTCCCTCGCTTTCCTCCTCCTTTCTGTCTCTGTCTCTCTGTCTCTTTCTCCCCCCATCCCTCCCTTCCTCTCTCCCTCTCTGCACTCACATTTTCTTGAACAAGCATTGTTAATATATATTTTTTCACAGTTTATTCCTTGGAAAGTTTCCTTGTAGCTATTCAAGAGTTTTCTTAAGTTAGCAAAAATCGTTAATTGCTTTAGATTCATCCTGCTGAAGGTTGTGCACGGTAGAGAACACCCATGGCCATGGTGATAATGGCTGATGGCCATCACTAGCTTAATGGAGCAGACAGCCAGACGGTGGGGACCAGAGTGCAGAGAAAGGAATAACATCTCTTCATCTTCCTGACTTGGGGGGGGGGGGGGAATATAAATAAAAGAGTTGGAAGTAGAAACCATTGCAATTGGTTGGTGACGTCACAATGGTGCTTTAACTATACCTGGCTTTATTGATTTCCCTTGCTTTCCTAGTGTGTGTGTGTGTGTGTGTGTGTGTGTGTGGCAGGGAGGCAGGTAAGGCCAAAGAATAAGAAGGGAGATCAGGCCACACACTGGAAGTGTGGCTTGAATCTACCTGATTTCATTCAGGTATATATATTGCATGAGACAAAGTTGGAGTCCTTGCGTGGTTCCTCCCCAGACCAGCTGTGTGACCTTAGATGAGTCCCTTGACCTCTTTGAGAATCTGCTTCTTTGTCTGTCACGTGGGGCAGGACGTGGCCCAGCTGTGAGGACAGTTTACTCCCATGAGCTGCCCAGACATCCTTAGAGCCCTGAGGCCGTTAGTGTTATTTCCCCAGGTTGCCCATACACCTGCTTTCCATGAAGGACAGAATAGCTTTGCTTCTCTGGTGCCTCTTGGGAATTTTTCATTTTTTTTTTCTTACTTTTGGGAGATCTTTCAGCTAAACTGAATATATTAAATTAGCCGGGGGTGGGGGGTGATGGTGGGGAAGAGAAGTAGTGGAGGGGGAGTTTCTTTTCTTTCCTTTTCATTTTTTTTTTTTAGACAGGGTCTCAGACATCCTAGGCTGGCCTCAAGCTAGCTATGTAGCTGAGGCTCCCCCTGCCTCCACCTGAGTGCTAAGATTACAGGTGTGAGCTATCACATCTGCCTTACAGGATGCTGGAGATCAAACCCAGGACTTTATTCTTACTAAGGAAGCATTCTGCCAACTGAGCTACATTCCCAGCTCCAGGGAGGTGACTTTCCCAGAGGCTGGGGCAGAGGGGGCTGCCTATCACATGGCTCCTTCACACTTGCTGCTGAATCAGCCTGCTGCGGATGTCATACACAGGCCTGCAGGCCTGTGTGTGAGCTGCTTGACCCTTCCCACGCTGGTGATAAGAGGCCAGTGGCATCCTTCACACGTTGCTGTGTGAATAAACTCCAGACAAGGGATGAGGGGACACAGAGCTAGCCAGATTTTATTCTCTGCGTGCGACCCTCTTGGGGCCAGTCAGCAGGCCCCTGTGCGGTGATCCATGGTGCATGTTGCCCTGTCACAGGACTGACTTTATCAGTTCTGGGTTTGAAACTGGGTCTGGTGGGGAGGGAAGGAAGCAGGGGGGGTTGGGTGGGAGTGGGGGGAGCTGCTACCGAGAATGTAAGCATCTGGAGCTTGATTTTGTCATTGCGATTTCAATTGCTCGGCAGTTCGTCAGCTCCACACAGAATTCTTGAGAGCGGGAGCCAATGTCTTGCAGACGTTCACCTTTTCTGCCTCTGAGGACAACATGGATGACAAGGTAACTGGGGTGCAGGTAGGGAGCAGCTACAAAGGACAGAGGCTTCCCGCGGGAGGGGGTGGAACTGGGATCCTGTGTGTGTCTGCACTTCGCTGCCAGTTATGAACTCACCACTCCACACATACGTGTATGAAACAGAATGTCTTAGTTGGGGTTTTCATTGCTGTGAAGAGACACCACGACCTTGGCGACTCATAAAGTAAACATTTATTTGGGGCGGCTCTCTTACGGTTTCAGGGGTTCAGTCCACTATCACCATGATGGAGAACATGGCAGTGCGGAGGCAGATGTGGTGCTGGAGCTGAGAGTGTTCTGTCTTGGAGGCAACAGGAAGACAACCAACAGTCACACCCAGGGAAGCTTGAGCAAAAGAGACCTCAGAGCCCGCCCCCACAATGACACGCTTCCTCCAGACAAGGCCTCACCTCCTAATAGTGCCACTCCCTTTGAGGGAGGCATTTTCTTTCAAACCACCACACAGAACAATGTCAGTTTAGGTGGAAGCTGACAAGACCAGACAGAACAGGCTTTGGGAAGGGTGAGGCATCCCTTCAGAGGTGTTTTGTGGAGAAAGAACATTTGGCTGGATGATTTTTTTATCCCCTCATTCTGTATTCTTTTATTCCCGTACCTGTCTGGAGACAGGGAAGCCCTGGGGAACTTAGGACCTCTGTCCTACAAATGACAAAAATCAGGCTTGCTCCTCAACTTTTCTGTCTCCTGCCTGTGTGACTTCATGTAAGACCATTCCTGCATGGCACATTGGCTTTAGCTCTGAAAAAACATAATAATCAGTGCTGTGCTCAGACCTGCCAGGAGGAGCAGATGAGATGGAGAATGGGGAAACATTTGCAAAGCCAACTGTTAATGACAACTGACTATTATGGATGGTCATGTTCATTGGAGAAACCCACATTTAATGAGAACCAATATATGTTATGTTTATGGTTACATCCATGGACTGTTCTCTGCGCTAAATAGAAAGGTAATCATAGAAAGAGGTGTCTTAGTTAGGGTTTCTATTGCTGTGAAGAGACATCATGACCCCAGCAACTCTTATAAAGGAAACATTTAACTGAGGTGGCGGCTTACAGTTTCAGAGGTTTAGTCCATTATCATTCATGGCGGAGAGCATAGCTGTGTGCAGGCTACATGTTGATCAGAAGGCAACAGGAAGTCAACTGTCTCACTGAGCAAAGCTTAAGTAAAAAAAAAAAAAAAAGACCTCAAAGCCCGTCCCCACAGTGAAACACTTCATTCAACACGGCCACATCTCCCAATAGTGCCACTGCCTATGAGCTTATGGGAGCCAATTACATTCAAACTATCACAAGAGGCTTAGACCCTCTTCTGAAGAAGCTAATGATCTTTATGGGAGGGGAACGAACAAAGTTACTAAAATCCAATGTAGTAGAACTGAAAAATGGCTCGGCAAGTAAGAGCACTTGCTCTTCCAGAGGACCTGGGTTCAATTCCCAGTACCCACATGGCAACTCACAGCTGTCTATAGCCCTAACCCCTGGGGATCTGAGGCTCTCTTCTGGCCTCCAAGGGCATCAGGGACACACATGGTGCACAGACATACATGCAGGTAAAATACCTATACACATCATCATCATCATCACAATAGTAAAAGAATGCACCACTATAATTCACAATTAATCTAAACTTACATTTTAAAAATTCAGTGCGGATAATAACGATGATGGAAGTATAAAGTTACTGGTGGGGCTGGGGAGAAGGCTCCGTTAATAAAGTACTTGATGTATAAGCACAAAACCTGAGTTGGGATTCCCAGAACCCGTGTAAAAGCCAGGTACATTGACGCATATCTGTAACCCCATCACCAGGTTTGGGGGTGGACGGGGGTGGGGTGGGGAGGCAGGCGGATTCCCTGAAGCTTCTTGGCCAGACAATCTAGCTAAATCCGTGAGAATCAGACTCAATGAAAGACCCTGTGTCAAAAAATAACACGTACATGCACCTGCCCACCTCTGGCTCACACAGGAGTCACTGGTAACAGAGGAGATTATGCCCAACTCTTCTCCAATGGCCGTTTGCAGGGCTGACTTGCTCATTGTTCCGTCCGTCCGTGACTTGCTTTATTTTGCGTTTAAAACACCAGGCCCATATTTCTGCTCTTGCTCTCAGTGGGAAGACGTAAATGCAGCTGCCTGTGACCTCGCCAGGGAAGTGGCTGACGGAGGGGACGCTTTGGTGGCAGGCTGCCTCTGCCAGACATCACTGTACAAATACCACAAGGATGAAACCAGAATTAAAAACCTTTTTCGACTACAGTTAGAAGTTTTTGTCAGGAAAAATGTGGACTTCTTGATTGCAGAGGTAAGGCTGGTCTGAGAGGAACTGGACAGGGATGCTCTATGTCCTCATTTCTTCCCTGTGGACGGTCAGAGGTGGAGGTTGATACCCTGCATTCCAGGCAAGGCTTCGCCATCTTCACGCTGGGTTCTCTGTGAGGCAAGGGGCGGACCCACCGCATGCCTCAGTATGGGTTTTGCTTCCTGAGGTTTATGTGATTGTAGTAGCTGACTTGGGGGGCAGTGAGAAGAGAAAAAGAGGACAGTGGCTTAGGACGTATCCCCTCCCAAAGGAGAGACCAGGCTGGAAAGTGCTGGGGGGGCTGGGGGAGATTGGAGCCAGAGGGAGAGCAAAGCCTGGCAGGCAGATGGCTGCCCAGGTTCACCTGGACCTCACTAGCAAGACTCAGCACTGAGTAACTGTCTTCTCCATCCTGGCCTTTCTCACTGCCTCTCTGCTGTTCCTCAGCTTATCCCATGTACACGGCATTTAAAGAAAGGATTGATATATTAAGTCAGGTTTTTGTTATTGTTGTTGCTGGGACATATACCTGAGAAGATCAACTTAAGAAGAAACCACTTGGGTTCACGGTTTTGGGGGTCCTCGGCCAGCTGGCTCTGGTCACCTGGCTCCGTTCTAGGTCAGGAGTCATGACGGAGGGAGGGCAAGGCAGAGTGGGACATGGCAACCAGGAAAAGGAGGGGCAGCAGGAAGGAGCCAGAGACAAGATGGCCTTCAAAGGGACACCTCCAGGACCTACTTCCTCTCACCAGACCCCACCTCGTTCTATTTCCCAAAGATGCTATGAATCCATCCACATCTAAGTGGATTGATGAAGTCAGAGCCCTCGTGGTCCAATCCTGCTCAACGCCTGGCTCCACCAGCTAAGTGCCGAGCCTTCGTCACATGAACCTATTGAGGGACATTTCATATCTAAGCCAAACAATTGGTCACTGACTGGACATGAGAGTGACATGGACACTCTCTCCCTTTTCTTCCCCATTGTTCCTGCCTGGGATCAAGCCCTCCACTCAGGTCTTCTCCTCATCACTATGTCTGCTAGTTCAGACCAGCTCAAGGCTCAGGGCTGTCTGCTCCTCGATGCAGATTCCAGGAATACTGTCCAGCTGGGCAGGAACATGAGCCATGTTTTCAGAGCTTCCTTTGATTATCTTTTCATTCCTCAATGAGCTTGTGTAGAATTTCTTTCAATAGTGAAGAAAGAAACCATGCCTGGTGGGTGGCACACACCTTTATTCCCAGCACTCAGGAGGCAGAGGCAGGCAGGTCTCCAAGTTCGAGTCCAGCCTAATCTTCACAGCAAGTTCCAGGACAGCCAAGGATACATAGAAAAACCCTATCTTAAATATTAAAAAAAAGAGAGAGAGAGAGAGAGAGCGCGAGGAAACAAGAAACAGGGAGATTGCTGCTGGCTCTTGTCCAGTTAGTTTAGGTCACCCTTTTAATTGTGGCACCAAAGGGGAATTCTGGGAAGCACCCCTGCAAGGACACCCTGGCCACCATCAGCAAGGACACCCAGTAGCTCCATCTCTTGCTCTGTGCTTCAGTCTAACCTTCTGGGAACACCTTCCTACTTTCCTCTTCCAGCTTCATGGAGTGCCTGGGATACCTAACCAGAAATGATACAGAATCACTGTGAAGAATAATGCATGATAAACTATTATTTTTCAGAGCTAACCCCAGTTCCATAAAAGATGATGCTCAAATCAATAAGTAAAATGTTTATTCCTAGGTGGCTCTGTGGTGCAAGAATAACACATTGGACTTCCGGTGACAAAAATGTGTGTTCCTTCAAGATTTTTATTTTAAATATATAACTAAATTTTTGTTTTTGTTTTTGTTTTTGTTGTTGTTTTGTTTTTAGAGACAGGGTTTCTCTGTGTAGCGCTGGCTGTCCTGGTACTTGCTTTGTAGACCAGGCTGGTCTTGAACTCACAGAGATCCTCCTGCCTCTGCTTCCTGAATGCTGGGATTAAAGGCATGTGCCACCATTGCCTGTTTCAACACATATATACATATATTACATATTTAAACAACCTTTAGTGGTTTTTAATGGTTTTGATTTTTGTTTTACTAACAGTCACAACATCACCATATACTGACCCCCAAATAAAACTCCAGATAGTCTCATGGACGGAATTCAAATGTTTACTAGGAAAGCTGTTCTTTACACAATCTGTTAGGGATGCATTCCTCAGCAAGCTGCATCACATATTATAGATTGGTCGTTTTTATGAGTTTCCCAGCATTTGGGCTTTACCATTCAAAAGTCTACTTTCACTTGAGGCCAGTTTTAAAAAGTGCTGTCTCCTAGTATTTTGAGCATGTGGAAGAAGCTGTGTGGGCTGTGGAAGTCTTGAGGGAAGTGGGCAAACCTGTGGCTGTGACCATGTGCATCGGGCCGGAGGGGGACATGCATGACGTGACCCCTGGAGAATGCGCAGTCAAGCTGGCGCAGGCAGGTAAAGTGGACCTCGATGAGGCAGGCGGGCGGTGCACGGGCTGCTTATGAAATGCATTTGCTCAATATTGTCAGAGAAATAAAAGAACAAGAAGGAAATGGTCTTGTCTACAAATCCCAGGGTAGCTAATCTCTAAACCAGCTTCTAAGGTTGATTGGTTGGATGGTTGGTTGGTTGGTTGATTTGGAATGAGATTGAATCATTTCTAATCTATGTGGCCCAGGCTAGTGTTGAATTTGTGACCAGCCTGCTCTCTCAGACGCTGTAATGACAGGCATGCACCCCAGCCAGCTCAGCTTCTAACGGTCATGAACAGAACGAACAAATGAATCCACCGTAAATTGTAATTGTTCTTTATTGCCTTGCACAGGGGCAAACATCATTGGGGTCAACTGCCGATTCGGACCCTGGACCAGCCTGCAGACCATGAAGCTCATGAAGGAGGGGCTAAGGGATTCGGGGCTGCCAGCTCACCTGATGGTGCAATGCCTGGGCTTCCACACACCTGACTGTGGCAAAGGAGGGTTTGTGGACCTCCCAGAATATCCCTTTGGTAAGCTCAGGTGCATGTAAAGTCCCTTATGGTTTGGATTGGTTTTCAAAAAGACAGGGTTTCTCTGTGTAGAACTTGCTCTGTAGTTCCCAGACTGGCCTTGAACTCATAGAGAACTTCCTGCCTCTGCCTCTCCAATGCTGGGATTAAACTCGTGTGTCACCACCACCTGGCCCTTATGTTTCTTACTGTGACTAAATTGATACAGTTTTATAAGGCCATATAAGAAAAAGAAAATCCTTCAGTGCTAACCAAACAGAAGTCACCTAAAGGGTGCATAATCTTTCCAGCACTATATTGTTTTTTTTTTAAAACTGGGGTGCGGGTGGGGTGGAGGAAAAGGCCAACCAGCCGAGAATCTGTCATTTGAAAATGGGAGCTGCATTGGTCACTTTTCCGGTTGTTTTCGCCAAATATCTGATGAGAAGGAACTTCGGGGAAGATCAGAGTCAAGGGCAGGCAGTCAGTCCATCTCGATAGGAAGGCTTGGCCACAGGAACATGCGGTAGATGGTCACGTGACCTCCACAGTCAGGAAACCAAATGAAGACAGGACGCCAAGGTGCCAATCAAACCTCAAGGCCCGCCTCCAGGGAAAGTTGCGCAACATTTCCAAATAGTCCACCGCTGGGGACCAAGTATTCAAACAAACATATGAGCCTATGCGGCACATTTCGCTCTCAAACCACAGCAGAGTGATAACAGAAACCACTGTATTACAGGCCTGGAGCCCAGAGTTGCGACCCGATGGGATATTCAAAAATACGCCAGAGAGGCCTACAACCTGGGCGTCAGGTACATCGGCGGCTGCTGCGGATTCGAGCCCTACCACATCAGGGCGATTGCTGAGGAACTGGCCCCGGAAAGGGGTTTTTTGCCTCCGGCTTCAGAGAAACACGGCAGCTGGGGCAGTGGTTTGGACATGCACACCAAACCCTGGATCAGAGCAAGGTGGGGTTGCCGTTCATTGCACTCCTGATTCCTCCCTGTCCTCTTCTATGTATTGCTGTAAACATGATGCGTGCACAAGGCAAAGGAACCCACACAGTGCAAGCCGCCCCTGCCCCCTTCCCAGGGACTCCTGGTCTACTCAGGCTACTGTAACAAAACACCATCAACTGCCTGGCTTATAAACAACAGAAATGTAGGCATGGCATCCTGTACCTCAACCAAAGCACTCACAACACAAAGGCATGCAGATTTCCTGTGAGTGCCAGGCCAGCCTGGCCTTTACATGGCAAGCTCCAGGCCAGCCTCAGCTACGGAATGAGATCCTATCTCAAAACCAACCAACCAACCAACCAGAAATGTGTTTCTCATAGAGTTCTGAAGTCCAGAATCAAGCTGCCAGTGATGCAGTGTGTGGTGAAGGTCCACTTTCTCAAAGACAGTGGCTTTTGCTGGGGGCTCTGTAATGAGTCTTTCCCTGTCCTGCCAGCCAGCTCCCAAATAATGACACGGAGACTGACTATAAATTGTGAAAGCTCGGCCTTAGCTTAGGCTTGTCCCACTAGCTCTTATGACTTAAATTAACCCATTTATATTAATCTATGCTTTACCTTGTGGCTTTTTACCTTTCTTTCATTCTGTATGTCTGACTCCTTCCATGTCTCTCTCGTTGGCATCTCCCTGCGTGCCTAGATTCATCTTCTACTTCCTCTCTCTGCCGGGAAGTCTCATCTATACCTCTTACCTAGCTTTTGGCCATTTAGCTCTTTATTAAACCAATCACAGCAATACATTTTCATACAGTGTACAAATATCCCACAACAGGACTCTCATAATACAATGGTCAAGGCAAGCTCTCTGGAGCGTCTTTGATAAGGCCACTAATGGAATTAACTAGGGTTCCACCCTTGTGACTCAATTATACCCCCCCCAAAGACCCAACTCTTGTGATTATATGGATTAGGTTTCAAAATACATTTTTAGTGGATACAAAAATTACACATATTTATGGGTGCCACATGATGTTTCCTCACATGTACACATTGGGTAATGTCCAAGTGAGGGTAAAAACCAAAACCGTGCCTATCTCCTCCAGTAGTTACCATTTCTTTGTGGTAAAAATATTCAAACCCCTTTCTTCTAGCTCCTTTGAGATATATACAGTACAGTAGTGCTCTCTGTATTCACCCTACTATATAGCTACCTATGTCTTAATCCATCAGTATGAAGTACACTCTATAAAGTAAGAATAGATTCTTTCCTGTTTCTCTCTACTCTCCTTCTCTCTTCTACTTTTTGGTCTATCTCCTTGCACCGTGTGTGTGTGTGTGTGTGTGTGTGTGTGTGTGTGTGTGTGTATGTGTGTGTAGGAATTATTCTGAACAACCTCAGGTGCTATCCACCTTGGTTTTTTGACATAGTGTTTCTCACTAGCGCCTGGAGTTTGCCAATTAGATTAGGCTGGCTGGCTTGCGGGCCCCACCCATGTCTGCCTCCCAGCACCAAGATTACAAATGCACACCACTAGACCTGGCTTTTTGTGTGGGTGCTAAGACTTGAACTTGGGTCCTCATGCTTGCCTGGCACACACTTTTCTGACTGAGTGATTTTCCTGGCCCCATCCTTCGGCTGCCTCAAGTTATACTATTAACATTTTTAACCACTATGTTCTATTCTGTGATCATAATTAAGTCTTCCAGGCTTTGTCTACAGGTTGCTTCTAAAATATAAAGCCGGAGAATGGTATTTACAATATTGTTACAGTTGTCATTCAAGCAGCGGGACTCATGACAAATCATCAGACGTTTTCTGTCCTATCTCTTAACCCTGCTTGATGAGTAAATTCCTTTCTTTGTAGGTACAAAGGGAACACACTGACATGCCCCAAGATTGCATTCTTAGGGAACAGGAAGTCTCATTATCACTTTAAATTGAGACATGGTCTCAACTTAACAATTAAGAGTTCAGTTCCACACAGAATCAAGACTCAGAACACATTTTAAACTTAAAACTTCTTTTGTCTGGCAAAGCCTCCCAAAGGAAGGAGCGAGCAGAGAGATGGCTCAGAGGTTAAGGGCACTGGCTGCTCTTAAGAGGCCCTGAGTTCAATTCCCAGCACCCACATGGTGGCTCACAGCCATCTATAATGGGATCTAACACCCTCTTCTGGTGTGCCTAAAAACAGAGCACTCATATATGTATCATACATGGAGTAAAAAGAAAACAGACAGGAAAGGAAATCTTCTCATCACTGGGTTGTCACCCTATTAGAGGCAACCCTCTCGAGCCTGGCAGATCTCTAGCACAAGCATGGGACAGGTTCTTCAGTCTTCCCTGCAAACTCTGGTCTGCTCCCACACCTCTAGCGTTCTCTTGGACTGCTACCTCCCCTCAGCTTCCTGCTTTCCCAGCAGGTCACCCCAGAGATGCCCTGTTTGGGGTCCCATTGTCCTTCAGGTGGTTCTCGGGGTCAGGCCCATGCTCTCGCTCTCATGCACAGACTCAGAGTGTGGCCTGACCCTTTGTTCTTTGGTGATTCTGAGTTTCCAGTGTGGTGTCTTGTGGGTGTGACAGGCCATCTTTTGAGACTTCCGGGGAGTGACCCTGGGAGGGGTCCCCTGTCATGTCCCATCTCTTGGTGCCTTCACACTTCCATTTCAATGTCCCACTGTGCAACAGTCTCCTCAGAACACAGCGCTCTGCTGGAACCACAGGGAAGAGCAACGTTCCCACTTTTGCAAACCTTGAGCCACTTGAAGGCGACTGCTCCAAGCATCAGGGTCTGGTGGATTCTCCCCTCTTACATTTCATCACTCGTCCAAATTCTCACCAGATGTAAACTGGCTTCATGATTGGACTGGCATTCTTTGTGTAACATCTGGCTTTCTAGTTAATTTCTAATTAACTTCCTCTTTCATTGTTGAAAGAAAAATCACAGGCCTCCTCCATCTTCTCTGAGTTCTTCCTGATTCTAAATTATACTATATGTTACCATCGTTTTATTGTTAAAGATGTTTCGCTCAGGGATCCATGAACCTTGCTCTGTCTTCCGATGTGTCTGTATATTCTTTCTTGCCATATCAATACAACGCCATCTCCTTTACATTTCCTAGAAGTTGGTCATGACACTTCCTCTTCCTACACAGCTCTATCACTGTCTGTCTATACAGACCTCCAGGTCTCTATGGTTGGTACTGGGATTAAGGGCGTGTGTCACCATGCTTGGTTCTGTTCCCTAGTGTGGCCTTGAACACACAGAGATCCTGCCTTCTAAGGGATTAAGGGCATGTGCTGCCTGACTTCTTTGTTTACTTAAAATGGCTGACCTTTCCCCCCTGATCTCCAGGCAAGCTTTATTTATTAACCCACAAATAAAATATCACCACATTTAAGCACAAATAAAATATCACCACACACATGTACACATATATACCACACTTAAGAGTTGTGAGAAAGCCACTGGTGTGAATATAGAGAATTCTTCTGACTATATGTTGAAACAAAAGTTCTGCTTTAGTCTGATCTCTCGCTCTCTCCCTCTCTCTTTCTCTCTCCCTTCCTCCCCCTCTTCCTCTCTAACACGCGTGCGCGCGCGCGCGCACACACACACACACACACACACACATACACACACACCATACAGAATTTATAAAGTGAGTATGGATCTTTTCCTTAACGGTGCATATCTTCCAAACCCAGGGCTAGACGGGAATACTGGGAGAATCTGCTGCCAGCTTCAGGCAGACCTTTCTGTCCTTCGCTGTCGAAGCCAGATGCGTAAGAAGCAAGGAAAGAAAACTCTGAAATGACGGAACAGAAAGAAATGGCCTCAAGCCCTGACTTCCATGCTGCTGTCCTCAGCCTGCCCTGTTCTTCCAGCTGCTGTGCATCGGTGAGCTACTGTCCCTTCAGTTCAAGCAACACATCCCTCCTGAGCATGCTCACCAGATGCTGTGGGGATGTGGAGACACCGGGACCTGTCCTCCCTCCCCAAGTACTCTCTGACTAATAATGCCACAGTGCACCCATATGAAGGTCATCAGGCATGACCAGAGTTGGCTCTCAGAGTGGATCTGACATTCTTAAATCATCAGAAGCCAGCAAGAAGCTATCTTAGTGAATAATTCAGATGTCGAAGCTAGATGCTTGAGGAAGCGGGAGCAGGGCTCTGAACTAGCAATCGGCATGCTTTTCTCAAGTGATTTCTATTGTAGCTACAAACACATCTCAGTAGAAGATATGTCAAAAGTGTGAGTGATGGCAGGATTATTAAAATCTCAGCACTTTGCTTTCAAAGAGGATTTTTGCTTTAAGGTCTTAGAGTTTGTAAGTGTATCTTTATAACCACACACAGTCAGATTATAAGCTACTGAAGCTCAGGACCATATCACATGCTGCTTACATTCTTCTTTATTTAGCATTATGCGTAACATAATCACCAATGCTCAATGAAATGCTTGTTGATTAAGTCAAACAGCCGAACCCTGCAAGACCTTTTCAGAAGTCAGAGTTCAAGTCCATCTTGTTGTAATACTTTCTTGATTCACGGTTGTGTTGTACACTGACAGTGTGCCCACTTTTCTCTTTTTTTGCAACAATGTAGCCATGTGTGACAATTAATAAAATCACAAATTATTTTCCTTGTATAGAATTTGAGTGTCTTAAACTTCATAGGCATTCTTTGGAATAATGATAACAAATATCTGTTCCTAGCTTTGTCCTCTACTCTCGTGGCTACATAGTCGCAGAGTTAAAACTGGGATGGTTTCATTGTTAACACAGCAGTTTACAGGTGAGGAAACAGGCCTGATGAGTACTTGCACTTGCCAAGGTCACACATGTGGGAGTGACGTGACATTTGAGCCCACGTGCTGTCGATCTGGAACCCTCAACCACTGCTCTGCACGCACACGGCCATTGCTTTTATTTTTTTATAATGACTGAATCGAGGCATTAGTATTTCCACTTCCTTATATGTTTAACATGTCTTTGTTTGAAGCCTGCAAATCCCTCTCTTTCAGAGCCTCACAAAACGTAAAGCCTGGAGTTTAAGGTCATTTTTATCCACTTTCTTACGACTGAATCAACCTTTCAGCCCAGATATGGTTGTTTCTGTGATGCTAACAACCTGGGATTCATTCACCGTTCCCACTTAGCAGAATGCCATCTGATGTAGTTAGAGAGTGATATATCTCTAATCACATCCAGGCCTTTGGAGACCTTGAGGGTGACCAACCTAAGTGATCAAATGCCCAACCAACTCTCTTTGCAAACCTCTCCAGCCAGTACCCATTCACTGGAGCCTCGCCACTTCTCAAGGTCACCTACTTCTGAGGATATGTCTCATTCTTAGGAAGCGCCTCCATCGTAACCAGAAGCCTGCTCTCTACAACCTTCACTAGGTCCAAACACTAGGCTTTGAGTTTCCCTAGAACAACTGTCTTTTCCACTTGCTAATTCTTCCAACTTAAAAGTAGCTGTCAGGAGGCATGAGAAGATGGCTCAGGGGTTGAAAGTAGGCACTGCTTTGGCAGAAGACCTTAGTTTGGTTCCCAGCGCCCACGTGGAGGCTCACGGTTGCCTGTTGATCCAGTTTCAGGGGATCTTATGCTCTCTTCTTGCCTCTTCAAGCTCTTGCACACACATGGTATACAAAAACTCACTCAGGCTCACAAGCATGCACTAAATAGATGATGGATAGATAGATAATAGATAGATAGATAGATAGATAGATAGATAGATAGATAGATAGATAGATAGATAGATAGATGATAGATAGAAGATAGATATATGATAGATAGATAGATAGATAGATAGATAGATAGATGATAGATAGATAGATAGATAGATAGATAGATAGATAGATAGATAGATAGATAGATCCTCTTTCTCAATAATTTTTTAAGATAGCTGTTATGTTTCCCTGGGCCTCCTTTTCCTCATATCCTTTAAACCAAAAGCTTTCAAGACATCATTTGTCCTGTCCCATCTGTGTGACAGTCACTTAACTTTTCTGTCAATGTCCTCTTCTGTGACATGAAGGGGGCAATGGAAGCATTTTCACTGAGGTGCTTTGGGGACTACATGAGATAATAGGGTGCTTAAAACAGTGACTGCCGTGTGCTAGGCACGCTCTGCCCGTTACACAGTGCCTGTGTAAGCAGGTTGGCAGTCTCCTCGTCCTCCTGCTGGCTCACCCTGGACCAAAGCTTCACCTGTGTTAGCGACTGAGATCGAACCTGCACTCCAGCGGGACTTCCCACCCTGTAGCCACTCGCTGAATATGTTGAAGTCATGTGGAGAGGGAAGTGTGTGGCACTGTGAGAAGGGCGAGAGTGGAGAGGCCATGCTGGGGGTGGGGGGCGGGGGAGGACAGGCTGTCCCTTCCGGTGTCTCCACAGCCCTTTCATCTAGTTCTGTGGCATTCAGTACAGAAACGACATAACAAGTTCAAAAAAGAAGTGACATAGGGTAGATGGTAAAGACGCGTTTTTAAATCTAGATCCATCAACCTATAAAACAGGAAAATCAGCTGAGACTCAAATTAACAAAGACTAGCTCATTTAGACCTGAAGAAAGCGTTAGGGCTGTTCATCAGCTTTTCAGATTGACAGTTGCAAAAAAATGGAAGTAAAGTGTTTTGTTCAGAATGTGGGCACAGGAATGCCACGGCTAGAAGGATGTGAACAGGGACAATCCTGAGGACCAGGAGTTGAAGATGTTCAGAAGTAACAAGACCTGAGGAAGGGGAGGCACAGAGACTGAGCTGAGCAACCCGGGCCATGTGCTCCCTTAACGAAACGGTGCACAGCCAGTGGAAACTGGGTCAAGAAGACTGTTGGATAACCTGGTTGTGTGTGTTGTTTTGCTTTGCTGATGTGTAGTTGGAACATTATTGATAGGACAAAAGTCATCTCATGTCATTAAACATGAAGGTCTCACTTTGGGTGTAGAGGTTCAGCGGCCTTGCCTAAGATGTTGGTGTCACTAAAGTTCATAAAGCTCCCAACAGACAAACAGGTACACCATTAAAGTTAGGGTCCATGTGCTCTGGATTGAACACACAGCTTTGCACATGCTCACCAGGCAGCCTTCCACTGAGCTACACCTCCAAGCCACAAATCAAAGTGACAAAAAAAAAAAAAAAGTTTTGAGACAGAGCCGCATTGTGTGGTCCAGGCCAACCCTGAATTACTGATTCTTCTGCTTCAACTTCCCAAGTACTGAGATTCCAGATGTGTGGGAACACACCTGGCTGCGAACATTTCTAAAGGATTAATTTCCTATGTGGAAAGACTGAAAAACCTATATAGTGATTGGATCACAGTTTAAATGACAATAGAACATATTAAGAGAAAGAATTTCAACTCCATTAAAAACAAAACCAAAAACTATCCCCCTAAACACAGCCAGGAACTTACCATAGCACCACTGTGTTCTGGCAGTACTAGACAACACAGTAGATCATTCAAAATATCAGAAAAGTAAAGATGAAAACGTTGTTCAGGCTGTACTTTCTGATACTTTTGGATAGTCTTTGTGACTATCTAAAAGGCTATTATAGGCCATAAAAGAATCCAGTAATGACGATTAAATTTCTCTACACAAAAGTCATTGCTTTTCTATATATACTTGAGAACTCTTTTGAAAGTATAGTGGAAAGTATTTATTCCACGTTTTAGCAAAACAATCAACTATCTAGGGACAAAATCGACATGAACTGTGCAAGAGCTATTGAAGGGGATGCTGCTGTGGGATGCATAAGAGTGAGGCTTCAGGTAATGCATGCACCTGCTCAAAGGAAAGTGTCCAGGTGCTCTGAACTGATGAACTACTGGCACAGGACCTCAGGGAAAAATACCATCAGAACTGAGGAGAAAGAGGCATGCAAACTGTCGTGGGTGTATGGGGCAAAGCTGTGGAGCTCAAGGTAAAATTAGAAACAGAAAGGTTGTTAGGCAGGTGGCATTGCCAGACAACCACTGTCTAATAATAACACTAATAATAATAACAACAGAATAATTAAAGCCAGGGGTGTGGGCCTGAGGAGATGGCTCAGTAGTTAAGAGCACCCGTCGCTCTTCCAGAAGACCTTGGGTTCAATTCCTGGCACCCGCATGGATGTTCACAACCATCTCTAAGTCCATTTCCAGGGGATCTGATGCCCTCTTCCGGCCTCTTTGAGCACCCGGCATAGACCTGCATACACATAAAACATGCATACATGTAAAATAAAAAGAATAAAATCAAATTAAAAATACACAGGCTATCTGTGTTAAAAAGCAGTGGTCTCTACAATGGGGCATTTCAAATCAGCATTAGTTAAAAATGGGGACCAGTGACCAACCATCCAGTGCACGCATTCTCTCTCTCTCTCTCTCTCTCTCTCTCTCTCTCTCTCTCTCTCTCTCTCTCTTTTAAAGCTGATCAAAGTTTTGACCAAAATTCCACAAAAGAAAGAAAGCAGACTGTTACATAAAATTTTTAACGGTGTGTATACACACAAATACCCTGGTTAGGGGGTGGTAAAGGTGAGTGGGAAGAGAGTGCAGTGGGCATCAGTAAGCACTCCTCCAGGAAGGGTATCCTGAGGTACTTTAGCCCAACCTTTTCCCCGCTCAGGCACACATTACGAGGGAGGTGCAGCAATATTCAGGACCCCCCCCCCATTCTGTTTTATTTGGCTGAACAAGGAGATATCAGAGGGAGCTGTACGAAGCTGGGACCCAGACAAAGCCCTTAGGTCAGCACTCATGGTGTCACTGTCCCTGTTGATGGCCACTGCTCCGGGTACAGCAGAAGACACTGTCCCCCGATGCTTGGGGGGCACAACACACAGGGAAGAGATGGCTTCAGGCTGGGAGCTCCATCGGCAATCATTGGCCCAGCACACGGGCCGTTTCTGAGGAGTTACACACAGTCCCTAACAGAGCCTGGGGAGCCCAACGTGACTTCCCTTCCCAGGTAGCAGGCTCTCTCCCCTCCATCAGCTTCTGGGGATCAGCTCTCTCCACTTGTGTCCCACATGACCCGACACTCAACCGTCAGAACCATTAAAGGTTTTCAAACAAAACAAAACCAATACCTCTTGATGCATTATTTCTATGGATATTCCATCAAAAGCAATGATGAAATCATCTTTCCCTCAGACATGCCCTCATTGGAGGTCTGAACAAGGGCTTACTTGATGTCTTTTTGGTGCCAGAGAGACAGCAGGCGACAGTGTGTATAGACAGAAGCATCTGAGTGCTAACACCATGCTGCAAACATTGGCATATGTTTACTAGACTCCTGGAGACTTTCCTGGATTTACAAATTAGAAAATAGATTACCTTAATCCACTAAACACGGGAAAAGATAAGCAACACATTCCAGATGAGGGAAACGTACAGCAAAGCAGTGAGGTGTCTTTTTTTCCACCTGTGTTGACAAGACCAAGAAGCTAATGATGCTTTATATTGATGAAGATTCAGGTCACTGGCGCCCCTATACATACACACTATGTAGAAATGTAAAAATATTGTAAACTATTTGGAAAACAGTTTGCCTGTATCTACCAAAATTTCAAGTTACACATCCTTGTATGAGTGATTTCCTTACTAGGGTGTAACATGTATTTTCATGTGTCCAAAGGTGCATGTCTGG